ACCGGAAATCGACCCAGCCGGGGGTTTCGCAGAAACGATAAACAAAATCGGCGACGTTCCTGGAAACTATAGAGTTAGTTTTTATTACTTCAACATCTACCAAAACTTCCTGTCACCTTTTTAAAAAGAGATGCGGAGCAAAGAAAATTGGCGATCCCTGAACGTGTACAGCCACGAACATAAAGTGTGACACTCCAGCTGGGCCGGGTAACAAGGTGTTTCACCGTTTTAGCATTAATCATCAATATCGTGTATTTTCATTTCAGTTCTTATCTTCTCACTCTCAAATAAATTTAAATTCTTTAATATACAGGATGTTCCGTCTAAATCCCACATTAGAAGTATTGAGAGTTAGAATAATCGTATTTATTTTACTAAATACAAGAGAATATGATTATGCATTGATCTGTATTAACATTCCCTATACCTAAATTTAATAATTTTCAAGGTATGGACTTTTTTTTAAGACTACAGAAAATTTATTACTAACCACACCCGTTTTCACATAGTTTGCTATGGAAATCAAAAATGTCAAAATTTTCTCTAAACAAACGTCAACAGTAAATTACTATTTGACAAATAGTGTCAAAATATGGAGAATCAAAGTTATGCAAACTTAATTATTATTGATAGGTTCTACCATGCGATCATTATATAAAGCTAACAAGTGAAAAAAATATTTTTGTTTAAAGAACGTCATCATAATTTTGTTACACTCTCCATAAATACAAAATAAATTAATTAAATCTAAGTTTGAGTAGCTTTGACTCTACATATTTTGGCACTATTTGTCAAAAATAAGTCACTGTCGACATTTATTGAGAAACAATTTTGACATTTTTTATTTCCATAGCAAACTATACGAAAACGAATGTGGCTAATAACAGATTTTCGGCAGTCTCAACAAAAAATCACCATAACTTAAAAATTATTAAATTTAGGTATAGGGATGTTAATACAGATCGATGCAGAATTAAATTCTTTTCCATCTAGTAAATTAAAAATTGGGGTATTTTATTTGGAAAAATTGAGTTATGGGTATTTGAATTATTACAAAAGTAACCTTAAAATTTTATGGTTTGTTAATTTCTTTTTCAAAATTTGAAAACACCGGAGGAAAGATCTAAACTTTATCTTTCAAACGCCAAAAAAACGAATTGAAAATTTTTAAAAATAGCAGAGTTACCGATTTTTAAAGTGGAAGGTGCAGATCCAAAAATTTTTGAAAAACTCCAAATATTTCAAAATGATTTGCGAACGTGTCTTATGGGTTTCGGAAGTTTTTGCGTACGAAAGAAATAAGGCTTGCCCACGAGAAACTATTACCGAGGGGATGACTTGCGAACGTGTCTTATGGGTTTAGCCCGGGAGTTTGCAGTGAAAAAGTGGCGCCAAACCGAGGGGATGACTTGGCAAGGTGTTCCACACAGTAGTTTTCAAACAAAAACAACCGCACTGCAGTTTTCAAATCACCCGCGCTGTAGCTTAGTTGAACACAACGTAGGTTCCTAACCACTTCGGTGACGATCACGACTTTTCGGCCATTTTGTTTTCATTTGAATTTGGCGCTCAGGTATTCACTTTCGGCGGGCAGGGTATGGCCTTTTAGGTCATCACAGTTTATAAAAAAAAAACTATAAATAGACGGACTTACAACAAACCTTAAAAATAATAAAGATTACCGAAACGGTAGTGTATTTACTATTACTTATCAGTAAACTGACATCACTTCTATTTAGTTACTTTTTGTTAAGTTTTTGTATCATTTTTAAATGAGGCAACAAAGACAATAGGTGATAAGATCAAGCGAACACGATAATTTGTAATCGAGTCATCTTGGCATCCGAGAATGTATGTCTGCTTTTGATCTAACTTCACGTGAAACATCAAATAAAATGACAAGTCGTAAGGTAAAACTGCAAAATGGGCTGGAATTAGTCGCCGACGTATCATAATACGAATAGGACCATACTTTTGTGAAAGTAAATTATAAATTTAGTTATTATAATTATCACCTTTTTGATCATGCTGTTTTACCTTTCTACTTGTCATTTTACTTGACATTTTATAGACATACGTTTTTGAATCCAAGGATGACTCGATTACAAATTATCTTGATCGCTCGATATTAAAATTACTGTTTCTTAAGGTTGAACTATACTGGGAAGTAATGTGTTTCTGGCACACAGGGTGGCGCTATATTTAGTGCCGTAACCGACAACCCAACATATACTTGGTCCCAATCAAATAGATTTGGTTCATTTCTTCGTTTCTTTGTGATCTGATATTTCTACTAGCCACTAGAGGGATTTTTTCTAAACCGGCTTCTAGGATCTTGACTTCAGCAGATAGGTAAACAAGTAGAGAAGGGTAGAAATAACATTACGATCATAAAACTCTTAGACCCGGTTTCGGTTAGGCAAGTGGATGAAAAATGTTTTATTTAGAAAAATTTTAGTAAGGAGGTCGGTCATACTAGGACGAAAATTTTTTAATTTAGATAAATAATTACTATTTATTGTTATACTCTCTATAAGTTTACCAGTTTACAGTAAACCGCAATTAAAAATTCAAATAATCAGTAATAATAATCAGTTACCACTCTTGTTTATTAATTAACATAATTTTTGGCTATTTGTTATTTACTAGTAATAACACAATTTTTCTTTAATTGTAATTAGTAATTACAATATTAATTAATAATAATTAATAATTAATATATTAACATGATCATAAAATAATAAAATCCGTAGAGTCGACTAGGCAAGTGGATGCATTATGGTAAATCACCGACTTAAAATCAGAGTTATAATAAATTAGTAGTCACTTTTGTTCATTAATTAACATAATTTTTGGTTATTTGTTATTTACTAATGGGACATAATTTTTCTTTCGCTGTAATTAATTATAATCTAAAAAAAAAGATTTGAGATTATTTTGGAGGTTCACAGTGGAAGATATTTTATGAAGAATTTTATTTATCTCACTTTGCAAAAAGAAATTTGAAAAATATGACAAATAAAAAGTGATTATAAAGGTGCAAAAACGGAAGGTTCTCCTAAAATATGAAGTTGAACTATAATAATTTTATACAATAAAAAATATAGGTAGGGTCAAGTAAGGCAAATGCGAGGGTCATAACTAAATTTGTGAATTCAATTTCATACAGCTCATTCACTATTTAGTTTAAAGTATTTATTGTTAACTGTTTGCCCATTGAACTTTGATCAAAAAATAAGTAAACCAAAAAAAAAGTAGTTTTTATCGGTGTGTCCGGATTGCGGCTACGGTCAGTTCTAGAAAAGCATGACCGGATTTCGGCGGAAGTAGAGACCAGATTGCAACCGAAATACCGATAGGTTGATAAAAACACACTACTAAGATTATTGTAATTTTTAATTTTAAAAACAATTTTTGCATAAAGTTTTCCTTGAAAACAGATAAAAGTGCCTAAAACAAGGTTTATTAAAATTTTTACTAAACTTGTTCCATCATTAGCTAAGATAATAAACTTTTTTGTATAGCATTCATTTTTAAACGGCACCGACAAAAAATTTCAAATTAAGATATATTGCTGCTAAGGCCATGAAAAAGTTATGATATTTTTTTCAGAATTTTTAAATAACGATTTATTTTTTTATTCAGTATAGTTCAACCTTAAGGGGCCCATTGACTTTGTTCTTTTTACACGTTTTTACCTGGACGGGCAAAACTGTGTGGGTAAGAAAGAAGAACGTGTATGTCCAACGTGTCAGAAAGCTAAGTTTTACTGGAACCGAGTAATAATTTAATCATAATGTAAATACAGGGTGTCCCAGCAAGTTGGTAAAGTCCAATATTGACCTATAAACGATAAAATTTTAAAATATGTAAATAAAATATGTATACGAGAAGCTAATCTAGTCCATCGCCTAAAATTATTTTCAACTATACAGCGTGTCTCAAAAATAAATTACAATTCAAACTTGTGTTTTTTTAAATGAAACACCATATGTTTCTTAACATTTTTGGATGTGGATTTTTATGACAATGTTCTTAAGCTAAACTTTTATTGGTCGATTTTGCTTAGTTTTAAAAATAAGTTTTTTTGACGAAAACAMGTATTTTTTAAAAATTTATTACACAAAAACTAAGACAGCTAGAACAATTTTTTTCTTTTCTTTCTGCAACGAAGAAAGTACAAGCTATAAGGCTGTAACATTTTTTTAGTGTGTTGCATTTGCAAAGTTAAAAAAATGAAGACGTCTCTTAAAAGTTCAATAACTTAAAAAATTTAAATGGACCACCCTATTTATTGTTTTTGCATTTAAGAGATTAATAAATTGTCTTTCCAAAATCATTTACTTTTAGGTGTTTATAATCAATAACTAAAAAGATATTTAACTTTAAATATTAAAAAAAATAATAACTATTATTGCAGTAGCCAAAGAGTGCACAGTTACAGAAGAAATGGAAGAAATACCACTTAATAATCACATTTATGTTAAATTGAATCCATTATTCTTTATTTTTACAATGAAATAATCCAAATTTCAGTATTTATAACGTTTTTTACAAAATCGACCAATAAAAGTTTAGCTTGAAAAGATTGTCATAAAAATATGCATCCAAAAATGCTAGAAACATCAGGTGTTTCATTTAAAAAAACACTAGTTTGTATTGTAACTTATTTTTGGGACACGCTGTATAGTTGAAAATAATTTTAGGCATTGGACTAGATTAGTATCTATCAATTTTCTATATACATGTTTTAAAATTTTATCGTTTAAAGGTCAATATTGCACTTTACCAATTCGCTGGGACACCCTGTATATTTACGTTGATGTTGACAGTGGCGTGTGCAAGTATTGTAAAACAAAAAGTAAACGCTCAAAATAGACCAAAAAATTTTTCTTTTTAGCAAAATTCCTTGTCGCAATACATCATCTTTTTAAATTAGCTATTATGTCGTTATCATAGACATTGTTTTGCAGATCTCTATCTAAATATTCTTTTGATTTTTTTCCAAAGTCATGTTACAGCTGCTACTGGGTGTCCCACCTAAGACTTGGTACCTAAGGTACTTGGAGTCGTTAAACTATTGTTTTAGATTTTACTTTGATAAAATTCTTTCAAAAATTAGAACAACATAATCCCGTATTTATGTTGATTCCTATGAGTAATTTAGTATTTTTTTTGTGTAGAGGTTTATTTTTTAGTGTTTAGCCAAATAATAATAGTTTCGCTTATTAATTTGAAACTGAAACAATATACAGGGTGAGTCATATACAGGGCTGTTCGTTTTTCGAACTCCACAATGGGGAGCTCAGTTATTATCAGAGGTACGAGGTCGCTTAAATTAGGGCAAAGTTGCGTATTTTTATGCTGAACAATAATCTGAAAGAAAATTTAATGTGTCACTTTTAGTTTTTGAATTATTCGCAAAAAACGGAAATTTGTAATTTTGGTTTTTATTTTTTCAAGCGCAAACTAAAAGACCTAGACGTTTTTAACTAGGACGTTCTTAAGGCACTTTTTTACAAGGAATCTAAATCTGTCCTCGTATTTTCGACGGCACTCTTGATATCAGAGTTACAAGACTCAACTTTGGATTTTCTTATGGACGCCATATTTGATTTCTGTATTTTTGAAAAGTCTCTTTGTTCCTGATTACAACGATGTATGTATTATACGATATCATCAAATTTTACATGCTGATCAAATTTTAAAAAAGCGTTTTTTCGAAGAATGCTTTGGAAAAAAGCGCCTTAATCAACTGAAGAACTGAATAACTTTGAAGGTTGTATTTTACTATATAAATTAATATTATTCTTTGTCTATGTTTTTTTTTAAAGTTAAATTTTTAGCTACTTGCTGCAACTGATAATAATTAAAATTATACCTACTTTTGGATATAGATTACCACATAGCAAGTAGCTATTAAATTTATATTGGTAGTAGATAATTTTGATTAGATTAGGTTAGGATAGATTAAATTTACAATTATGTCGCAAATATGTTTATTTACAAAGATTTGTGAATGAGTAATTTGTAGACTTGCCTAAAAGCAATGTACTTAGGAACATTTTTGTGTAATAATAAATAGTAGTGCGCTAGTGGTGTAAGGAGAATTTGAAAGATGATCACTTATCATCACTTATTGCACTAATGAGTAAGTTAAATGTTTATTATTGAGATTCTTACTAAAATTAGAAAAGAATAGTTGTAGTATAGTATTACAATCGAGGTGAGTAATAGTACATTATAAACGAGGTGGTAAATATGGCATTAAAGCACAAGGGGTAATGCCATTACCACCGAGATTTGTATGCTATTTTATTCATAATCATATCATTTTTAGTCAAAAAATTGAATAAAATAAAATTATAACAAAGGTCTAAACGTGATAGGTCATTCAAATTGAGCTTGATTTTTGACATTTCAGAAATGTAAGAAAAAATATTGAAATAATATGCGAATCTGATATTAAAATTGTTGAAATGGAGCAGTGTACTTCCCCAAAAGTAAGAGAAACTGCTACAAAAGCAATTGAATACTCATTTAGCAAAATATTATGTAAACTTGACAATTTGAAAGAAAAAATTTCCGGTATTTTTGTAATCTAACGTTGGCAAACCTGCATATTACCACTCAAGGGATAAAATTATATTACTGTTCATTAGCTTTACCCCTTTAAAAGGTTAGTAATCGGCATATTACATTAGTGATTGTGAATAAAAAAAATTSTAGCATTTTTTATTAGATTCATGTTCTAATGTTTTTTTTTCAGATTTTTGGTCGGAGACGCTGCAAATTGCAGCCCTTTGCTACACCGTCACCGCAACTGTTCTAGTATTCGCCTTAAGTGTTTATATACACATACTCAGGAGAAATCGTAAACGTTGCACTTGTTCTCTAGATCAAAAAGACGTAGAGATGCGAAATGCGCATAGGAAAAGTGAAAACAACGTTTATGAAACTGACCACCTCCCACCCAAAACCACAAAACTTGAAGTTTCATCACTGCCTTTACYCAGAATAACAACTAGTGAATACGAGTCCATTACAAGCGACTTTACAAAACAAAATTCTCTTCCTTTAATACACGAGTCTACTAGTGTAAAAATCGATGATTCCACCAATTTTTTACACGAATACGAACCTATTATCGAAATGAATGAAGATATTTCCAAGTCGAAACAACAGGATTTATACTTGCGATTTCTATGTGATTTGGCAAAAAAAATCAAAATGAAAGATAGTGTAGCTTACGATGCTTTGCAAAAGCATGGTATTTTGCCGGGACACCATTACGAAATTGTAAACGAAAATGATTCATATAATCAAGGAATGGAATATGACTCGGACGATGATTGTTATGTAAAGTATGTTCCTTCGGAAAGTGTAAAAAGATCATTAACGTTGGCATACACACCGCATAGAACACATCGTCCTAATGAACGTTTAAAAAAATGTCTCAGAGAAAATAAATGTGCTAATGTCTGTACTTCAAACACACAGGTAATTAGTACATATGTTGTTAATTTTAATTTTTAGTCACTGGCAAAAGTGACCTTATTATTTGACAAAAATAATCACAATAGTAACGGGCGTTTATTTATAGTTGGGGATGACATGAGTGTGTTGTGTAATAATATTTTAACCTCCCTGTTTAAATTCAATAACAATCTATGAAAAACAGTGATAAAGTAAGGTTTATCTTACAGTCATTGTTCCGTTTTTAATGAAACCAATTGTAAAGTTATATCACAACCAACATCTTTGATAATAGCTATTTATGTATCAATTACGCAAAATGGGGTTTTAGGGGACGAATCGTAATTAATAACGAGGCGACGTAGGAGACGAGTCTTTAATGAGAGGAGTCACCTAAAACCTTTTGCATACGTGGTGCATACAAGATTTTTTTGTTAAAGCTCCCAAAACACGAATTCACACCTCTTACTAATTAAAAAATTTTGTTACCACACTAACCAATTTTATTTTTTAGTCCCAAAAACTGTTTTTGGGGACTGAGTACTTAAAATAACCGTTTTGCGTACTATTTTATTGAGTCCGGAAAAGACTCATTTTAGGGACTCAAATGAGTTCCTAAAACAGATGTTTTCGGGAGTGTATACAAAAACATCAAATTGTTTGAAAACTAAAACCATATCCGGTTGCAGTATAGCAAATAGCAGAATGAGAAAATGCTTTTAATTATTTTATCTTTTGCGTACTGAAAACTGAATCAGTTATAATTACCTTGTATAATAAATTTAATGAAATTAAAAAAAAATAAAAAGTTGCTTTATTTTTTTAACGAGAAGTGTTTTTATTATTTAAAAAAATATACTTAAGCAACGCTTTCAAACCGACTTTACACCCTGAGGCAGAAACCAGAGAATAGGGAAAATCAAACGATTGTTCCAGACATCGCCGTATTGATAGAATAATTCTTTTTTTCATACGCTTTCGAAAATAGCTGTTTTAGGGACTCATTTAACAAAAAAATATTGTTTGTAACATGTACCTAAAACGTTTTTGCGGGCTCATCTGCTATTCCAGACTCGGCTTTGCCTCGTTCGGATATAGCAAAACTTTCAAAATTATGATGAAAACACACAAAGAAGTTGTAGTACCTACTTAAGCAATGTAATCGAAAAAGTTGATATTTTTATTAACAGTAATTTATAATTTTCAGTTGGAGAGACCGCCAGTACCCCCCAAAAAACCAAGATCAAGAAAAAATTCGGACGATGATATCCTCTGAAGCGAATTATAATTTTTAGGTTTTTATACATTATTTATTTCTGTACATACATAATATAGTAGACAACATAAATTATTACTTTGTCTTAGAAATTTTGTCGAGGTTTTGCTTTCAGCAATCTTTTTTAATCAAGATTTTAAAAGTGTTAGAAAGAAAATCAAGAACCAAAAGCTGACTATCAAATAGGGAAAACATTTAGATTACGTTTTGTATTTACGGCGGCGGTTTCCTCTATTTCAGTACGTACACGGAATTTTGGACGATTTGTCATTCGACTGACATAAAAATGTAAAACGGGCCTTAAGCAACTAACCTCACTTTTGATTTTTGTAATTTTTGTCCTCATAGCTGGAGAAAAAATGACAACAAATCAAAATAATTTATTAAACTTATATAAAAACACGTATTGCTGGTATTATTGTTTCGGAAAATCGACGCCAAAAATAAATTTCAACTAAAAATTTCAAAATTTAGTTTCAAACGCCAATCATAATGACAATAATACATTAACATTTTTTGAACTGACATAAATTTGATGTCCACAATTCCGTGTCCACCAGTGTATGTAAAATAGTATAATAATAAAAACAATTTAAAATATTGTAGGCATCTCAGAAACTTGATAAATAATGGAGAAAGAATATTACTGAATTTAATTTTAAGTTAAATAAAACTTCAAACAGTTTTTTGTGTAAATATTAGTATACAATAAATATCAGCGGTGTATTTTTGATATTTTTTAAATGGAACCAAAAATACTAATTACACTTACTATTTGACACTGAGTTTTATTTAAATAATAAATTGAATAAAAAAAATTTTATCATCATTTTTAACAAAACTATCAAGACAAAGGTGACAATATACAGAACAATGCAATTTTGTATCCAAAGATCAAGATAATTTGTAAACGTATGTCCGTTTTTGAAGTAACTGCACATGAAACTTCAAATAAAAAGACAAATCGAAAAGCAACACGACTGAAATTAGTCGCCGAGATACGAGTAGGACCGTTCTTTTTTTAAAGTACCTAAATCATAAATTTACTTATTAAGATTACAAATTATCTTATCTCTCGATATTAAGTTTAAAAATAAATATAAATAAAACTCGCAAATACTTAGATTACTTAGATACTTATATCCGAAAGTCTTACGTAGGACACCTTGTATAGTGAAAACTAGAATAAATATTTTTGGTTTCATCTTAGAAAATTTCAGAAATACCTAGGTATATCACAATTGCATTGTAATAACGATAGAATGATATTAGAAAAGTCCCCATATATACAGGCTGTGTCAGAACTCGCACCCCAGAGAAAAATTTCAAGAAAGATAAGATACCAGGAACATGGAAAAATGTTTAAAAAATTCTATCTGTCAAAAAATTTTGACATATTTTTCCGCATTTGACATTTTTTATGTCTATTTAATAATAATAATTGTTTCTGAAAAAGTGCAGTTTATGACTATTAATGAATATGAAACAGTTATTAGTTTGACAACTACTATCATGGGTTTCCAAAAATTAAATAATTAAATGTGTATTTTTTGTATCTAGGGTTTTGTGACTTTTGTAGATTTGGGTGCGTATAATCAATCCATTTCATTGAAATTAGCATAACAATAGTCCATGATTATGTAAACCGCGCTTTAAATGTGAAAGAGGCTTTACATATTAAGGAATTAAATTTGTCACTAAAAAAGTGAGGTTAAGATAGTTAAAAATTAATCAAAGAAAAACAAATTCCCCATTTGCTGTTATACCAGGAACATGCGCAGGGTTACAAACTTAAATATGAGATTCCATAGCCACCTAGTATGCCAATTTCAATGAAATCTACTAGACAATAGGCGCAAGTTGTGTGAAACACCCTGTACTTTTATTACAAAAATCAACATTATTAACCAACACAACCACAATTTGTTAGCAAAATATTCTGTAACAAAAATAAAAAAGCCATTCTCACCAAAATTTTTACTTGGTAATTCCAGTTAAAAAAATTAAATGTATTGGTCGTAGCTGTATTTTTTGTCATTTATTATTAACAGAGTGATATTACATATACTTTTCTCTGTGTTGTGTGTTTAATCTAGTTGACAAAGCAGTGCCACACTCCTCTTAATCCAGTGCGAAGGTTTTACACTTGTTTCCATTAAAATTGGTAGCACGTAATTAGTAGAATGTCCCGTAGTCGACAACACACCTCTTCTTTCTGATGTTTTATAAACAGGACACTTGTATCTGCCTCTTTCTCTATACTCAGAATCCTTAATTGGTTTAATCCAAATCATTGGCATTGTATCGTGTAAGACTTTTGGTAACAATTCATCAATCTGTCCTTTCACTCTATCCCATCTTGCTCCATCCGTAAATAACCCATAAATATATGCCCCATCCTTCGGTGCTCTGTCACTGCGATCCTTTTTTAAAATTTCAAAATCAAACGTCAGTTTATCAATGGGAATAGTATACTTTCTTGCATAATTCTGTTTAACACCAGTTAGGAACGCTTGCGTGAAGAAAAAACCAGATATCCAGTAATCATCCGGTTTTCCTTGTTTGAACCACTTTTCGAGAAACTCAATTCTGCTTAAGAAATCGGCCACGTAGTGTGGCAAATTTTTGAGACTTGGGTACGAACTACTTGCCCAATTTGACGGAATTCGAGCCATCATGAGGGAAGTAGCAAATGCTTCCAAAGCGGGAGTCATCGATACCAAACCTTGGATCGCTTTCTGCATGTTGATCAAAGAGTTTCGAATGGCGGCAAGCAATCGGTTGAAACGGTCCATTTCTTGTACCAGCACCGTATTCATAGATTCAGAATACTGAACGGGATATCGCCGAACAGCTTCTTCCTGATCAAATGGATTTGGTAATTTTGATAAAATATCTGAACAGAGAGTCATTATGTATTTGTCTGTTTCGCCAACACCTCCCGTTTGCACTTCACCGTAAGCTTTAAGCACTGAATTGAGAAGTCGTTGGGAGTTCTGCATGTCTCTGGTTATGCCAGCATTAGTGTTGAGGCCAAAGACTTGCGGAGGGTGCATATGGGGCAAACTTTGGATATGAGTGATGAAATCCTGGTAGTCGATTTTTACAGGCAAACCGTAACATTCAGCTGCGTCGCTAAAGAGATAATTGCTCGAATTGGCAACTCGAGGATTGAGAAAATCGTCAAGAATCGTCGTAATCAAACGACGATCCCAATCGTCCGTCACTCGACCTCCATAATTGCATTCGCCGATCAAATACGATAAAGCTTCGTACGGATTTTCACTCTCATTAATAAACATTTGAAGCTGTTGGACACTTATATCGAAGTCTGAATCGTTGAAACCGTAAGGAATATTCCATCCAAGTGCACCAAAAGTGCGTCTTTCTTGCACAACAGCATGAAAAAACGCTATACCATATAACAACTTGACAAACATCTCTTGATTTCCTGGACAACCGTTGTAAAAATCGTAATTCTTTACAGGATCATTAACGTAAGATTTTAACAAATTATCTTTCAAACCAGTAGGAGGTTCGTTTGTGATTTTTACACCTTTTTGCAAAATTGATACAGGAAACTTGTCGGAAGGGTAACTCGTTAACCACAACCTAAAATTGTCATTGGTATTTGCATAATCCATATCTTCGAAAATTTTCTCAAGACTGGGCATCCAAGATGTTGCTAGATGACAATTCTGGAGACAAACCCACAATCCCTCATCTTGCCCCTGTTGAATTAAAGCAGCGGCGCGTGGACCTTGCCCTTGTCCTAAAGAAATCGACTGAAACTTTTCAGTATATTTCTTTTCTTCTGCAAATTTTACAAGAGCAGCCATTGGATCCGTCCCAGGTGACAAAATAAAGATTAGAGGACACAAATTGTAGGATTCGTTATAAGAAACCGAGATGTTAAATTGAGGAGGTGTAATGTATTTAACACCCATTTCTTTCGAAATGTAATCGATGGCACCCACCAATAACTTATCAGATCGCAAAATTCGAATCACAATCAATTTCCGAAAAGTGTTGAGTTTGTCTTGCCATGGTGATGGTAATTTTTCCTTTTCAGGTTCATAACTGTCATAAATTCTCTTCCAATCACGATTCGATTGCACAAAAGAATCTCGAAAATTGTTAAAAGCTGGTAATTCGTCAACTCGACATATTTCATCCCAAGCTTGGTTTGGTAACCAACTGACTGGATTAGGTATAGGGTTTTCAACACTAACACCTCCCGTTAACAGAAACATAAACTCCCTCTCATCCAATGTTTTTTGAAAAATGAGAATTTTGGAACAAAGTAGAAACGAAAACAATAATTTGTCTTTTTCGAATAAAGATCGAGTAATGTTCGAGTAAAGATCGAAAGTGAAGGCTGTGATCAAATTCGAACACCTTTTCTCCACACTTTTACATTTTTCAGCTCTTTGTATTGACCCAATGTACAAATTGATAAACCAATCAAGAGAGTATTGATACATTGGGTCAACATTTCCCAAATCACAGATGCAGTAATAAAGAACAGCAGAATGTTCTGACACTCCTTGGTACAAAACGCGAAACTCTTCAATGGTTTTCTCGATTTCTAAAGACTTGCTCTGCTTTTCTCGAATTGTGATGGACAATAATTTCGATTCGTCTAGAATCTGGATAGCTGATTCGTCTTCGAGAATATCACCCTTACATTCCGACAAAGTTCTCAAAATATTTAATTCGACGTTATCTAAAGCAGCCTTGTTTTCGGCTTTTTGCACAATCAATTCTTCTTTAAGTCGTTGCAAATCTGGTTTCTCAACTGCAACCACAATTCCCAGCAGTTGATCTTGTAATCCTTCCAAAGTTAAAGCAAAATTGATAATTGTCACTCTATTAAACACTTCGGGTAAGTAATGAGGATTCCTCAAAGGTGATGCTAAATATAATCTAAAATTTTTGTTGTAGGGAATTACGTTTTCGCCCATACTGATTACTTCAAATCCTGCTTGCTTGAAAACTTTTTTGTAGAGCAAAGGGTCTATTGGTGCTTCTAAAACCTCACCCACACTTTCTATTAAGACAGGATAACCGTTTTGGACACAGTTCTCGATTTTTTTCATATAATCGGAATGAGAAAATTTTACAACGTACAAGGAATTTTTCTTTTCCATTTTCTTTATCCAGTTACTGGCTTGATACTGGGGATCGATGAATAAAGACCATTTTCTTGAATTATCTTGAATTATACCATTTTCAGTCGAGAAACTATCACGCGGTAGTCCACTAATGTACCAATTTTGTACTTTAACATCAGATCCTAATACTACCAGAAAGTCAAACACTTCAGAACAAGGTATTTGAAGCTCTGTTACGCATTTGTGCCAATCTGCCACTGTTTTTTGACGATAATACGCCGTAAGAGGTGACAAATAAGCCATAATCCCGCTAGATATCAAAATATCTCCTGCCAAAGAATCATGTTGCTCTTGAAGTGAGTTGGCTGCTGCAGTCCACCTCGTTTTTTCACCACCAAGACCTCCTATCAATTTCTGAGCCCGAATTAGCTTATTTTTACACAAATCCACGTCGGCTTGCAGTTCCCCTTGTTTCTGAACAGCCTCAGCCAACTGTTCATTCAACACTGCTAATTTTTCTTCCAACTGCTTGACCTGTTCTCGTTTTGCTCTTAAAATTTCCATCGTTGCAGCAAATTCGCGTTCGGCCTTATCCAACTTTTCCTTTTTTGGAGCGACAATTTTGTTGACTTCATCATATTTGTCGATTGCAATAATCCACTTGCACAATCCTTCTGCTGCACTTGATGCCTTGGCAACAATAGCCGGTTTGAAATCTTTGTGAGGAAGAAACTCTTTACGAATTTTGACCATTATCTCCGGTTTGATGTGATCTTTATCAAAATCTTTGAGACTTTGGAGGAAATTCATGTCTCCGAGAACTTTTACACTTGGGCCCCAATAATCCAGGTTCATTCGACCAGTGGAAGGATCGCGGATTCTTGCCGGTTTTACATCTTTCATTATGCAAACGGCCGCCATTACCAACTTTATAGCAGCTGGTGGATTTTTCATAGATTTGACTAGAGTAATATCTGCTGGTTTTAGTGTGTCTAAGGCTCGAATGGCATCCTCTAATATGGGAATAGCTTCAGCCAAATCGGCTTCGCACTCTCGTTTCAAAGCTGAAGCCATTGCTGCTTGAATATTTGCAACTTTTTCGTCTTTTTTCACCAATTCTGAGGCTTTTTCAACTTCTATTGTTTCACTTTCAATTTGTTTCATCATGTCAATTGCCTTTCGATTCATATCTTCAAGTTGCGGTTGTAAATTTGCCAAATTTTTCTGCATTTCGGCGATTTGCTCCGCCGCAAATAACAGTTTTTTCAAACCGCCAATGTAACGTTTTTGCGTTGTGAGTATTTCTTTCTGCTTCTCATTGGTGAGAATTGTAAACGATTTGATAAGTTCTAAGTAGGAAGCAGAAGTTATGTAAGTTTTGCGACCTGAGGCGTGATAAAATTCTTCAGAAACTTTTCTAGCCTCTACGTGGAAGTATTTGCAAGCTATAACAGCTTGATTTTTAACTTCATCGGGTATATTAACATCGGTCATCCAATTATAAGCAACTTCTTCTAAAGCATTTTCAGGCCAATCGTCAAACCAGTCAATGGTGCAGCAATTGATAAGAGAAGGGTAGAGTCTTAAGCGGTTTCTGAAAGTGGAACCCACAGGACTGAAGCACAGAATAATGTGTAACTTTTCACGACAACGTTTTGTGAAGAAATAAAAGATTTGTAAGGCACTAATATCAAGATTTCGGTTTCCCCCTTGAGCTGCTAAACGCACCATATCCAAAATCTCCTGCCTTTCGTCGATTTGGTATATATTTGGTACCTCGCCTGAATTAAGCAGACAATCAATATCTTGTAAAAAAGATTCTTCTTTAATTTGTCCCTCCGATATGAGAAAAACACAATGTCGTCCTCTACCTCCTGCTTCTTTCAAAATTTTTTTAATATCATCTCTCCATTCGTTTAAACCATAATTATTGGTGATTTCAGGTTGATACAAATGCTGACTATAAATCTCACTTGCTAATTTAGTTAAAGATTGTCTTCCTGAACCACTTATACCAACCAATAAACAACTTCCACAAGCCATTGATAACACTCGACAAATTTTTGATAGATGTTCCAGGGCGTAGTCAAAAAGAACCACATCCATTTTCGTTTTATGAGTTGCATTATATTCATCCAGACAAAGTTGACAAACATCTGCAAATTGCTTGATGTTTACTGTTTCCTCATATCTTCTTTCATCGTCGTTCGAATCTTGATCAAAATATGTCCCAAACATTAATTTTTTTAAAGAATCTAATGTCAAATTCCCGTCAGGATCCTTGGGTAGATTATCAAAAATCGTATCAAAATGTTCCTTGAAGTGATCACGCACTACAAGTTTTAACTTTGAAAACAACCAATTTTTATCTGTATCTTCGACCAGTCGGTCATAGAAAATTCTCAACACTTCATGTACCCAAATTTTTGCAAAAACAATTTTGCTTTCGGCACACTCTTTACGAAGCATTGCACAGCCTTGAATCAAACGAGAAAAGTCGCGTAAATTAAAAACGTAGTGACTTTTCGAAGGAGTTGGTCTTAGATTTTCCATTGCAGATTTATAAATATCAAGACTAGCACCAACTGTTTGCACAGCTAAAGAGATTACGTCACTAGGAAAACCGTTATTTTTCCAACCTAGATGTAGGATATTTATGTAAATTTTCGCCATTGTTTCTTCGGAAAATTCATTGATTGAGAAGATACTGAAATGTCGCAGGAAACGAGGATAAATTTCTTGTCGACTACCACCAACCAAACCCATCGCAGCTAGGAAAATGACGTTGTGTAAAAACACTGGTTCTGTTGTTTTCAAGTCGTACCAATTCTTGTGGTCAAAATACTGACGGAGTAGTTCGATAGGGGGTTGAGCCCCATATGTTTCTTTATACGGCATATTGATATCGTCGATGAAGAGCACACAAGTCTTGCCTTTTGGTGCCCCATAATGCGATCTCCTTAATTTATTTAGTTTTGAAATGATCAAATTTTGAGTTTGATTTGCTGTAATTTTCACGGTGAATGTTATAAAAGATGGTAAGTACAATTCTTTGTCTAGTTGGTTCATTAAGAGGTCTTGAATGTAGAAACTTTTCCCTGTCCCTGTGGGCCCAACCAGTAACACTGGTAGCTTATTCCTGATGTGGAGGTCTACAAGACCCATATATCTTGCAGTATCGACAGTCGGAATCAATGCCTGCAAAATATTGGAACATTCTTCAACCCTTTCGTTTCTTACGACTTCAGGCCAGAATTTCCAAGTGCCTTTCATTCGAAAATGATAAGAGTAATCATAGAGAAGTCCTTCAATCGGTATATTTAATTCAAGTTTTTCCATCGAAGGAGGATACGGATGTTCCTCGATCTGATTTCTCCACAATTGCTTATAAAAGGTATCAAATTTTATTTTTGAGTCTGAATCTAGGACACACCCCAATCCCCACAAACCAGCCTGGATAAAAGCCGCTTGCATCCAAATCAACAAATTTTTTGTCTCTTCTTCTTTTTTCACCGACTCGGCTAAAGCCTTATTTAGGGTCATTTCAAGCAGTTGCATCATATTTTTAACCAAATTTATATTTCCAATGTTACAGTATTGAATACACTGTTTTCGTATGAAATACAGACATGGGGGTACAATCCATTTGAAAAGATCGATAATCAGAGTTTTAAATTCATCGTGACACCAATCTGGGTTACAATTCACAATCCACGATTCCATAAAAGGTTCCCAACCCAAAGTTACAGCTTCCATGTATATCATTCCACAGCGAGACACCTAAAATTTATGATAATTAAAATTAATGCATCCAACTAAAAAAATCTGAGTTTACTTTTAAAAAGTTCCAACAATGGGATCCAAAATAAAAAAAAATAATTCACAAATTATCACAGAGTAATTAAACTTTGTCTTAAAGGCTATTTACTTTTATTATTTTTTAAGTTTCATTTATTTTATAAATTGAGATGTAGGTAGATGTGGTATTATTATTATTTATTATAATACAGGCTGTTCCSGCTAAACCCCACATTAGAAGTATTGGGAGTTAGAACAATGATATTTATCTAAAATCTTGTCTATAGTCATAATCGGTTAGGTTCTGCTCAATGCAAATATTTTCAAGATGGCGGTACTTCCTGTCACACTGGAAGTGGACATTAATTTCGTTATAAAATAAAGTTGTTTTTTATTGCGTATTGTGATTTTGAGAAAGTTTTTATTAGCTTTTCCTAAGTTTAACCGTTTTCGAAATATTTAGAAATTTTAAAAATTTTTTGGATTTGAATCTTCGATAATTCTACTATTAGTCCGGTCAAAATAAACATTTTAAATAACTAAAATTCCGACAGAGCTAAATTTTGGTGGAGATATTGAGTACACCATTAGGAATAAAGTGTCAAAAGTCCCCATCGATCCCATGTGTGCTAAAAAAGTTATTCGGGGTCAAAGGTCGAAATTTGACGTTTTTTAGATTTTTTTCGAAAACGGTAAGTTTTATCAAAAAAGTAGCCCAGTCAAAAAATATAGATCTTGAAATTATCTACAAAATGGTCCTTATACTTTTTTTCTAACAATCACCATTCCTGAGATATCGCGATTCTAAAAGTTGAAGGAGTCACGTTCTACATGGTATGCACATACAGAGTGCGTCAGAACTCCCGCTTCAAAGACAAATGCCATGTAGGGTAAGGTACTACAAACATAGAAAAAATTTAAAAAAAAATCTATCTATAAAAGTTTCAAAGTTATGAGAGTTTAAATTTTGCACTTTGACTCTATTTATTTCTGTAGGGAAAATAATTTTCCAAGTTTTTTTGCTACAGGCCATTAGAAGAAGAAACAAAAAAGCTGTGTCCTAAATTGTAACTCTGTTCAATGTTATTTGTGGCTTTTATTGGCAAAACTTTTGTACCTTTACTAGATAATTGTAAAAAAACATATACAAAATCATCAGTATTATTAAATAGACATAAAAAATAGTCAAATGTCAAAAAACAAATGTCAAATTTTTTTGACAGATAAAATTTTTTTTACATTTTTTTTATGTTCCTGGTATCTTATTTTACTTGAAATTTTTCTTCTACTTCATTAAACTTATAAATATCTCGATTCCATTAGAATTAAAAAGAATTTATTTGGTAATACATACAGYCTGTTCAAAAAATCGCGCATTTCCTTGAAAGGAAGTAATTGGGTAGTCCCCAGAGTACTGAAAAAATGTTTAAAAAATTCTATCTGTCAAAAAATTTTGACATTTATTTTTTGACATTTGTCATTTTTTTATGTCTATTTAATAATACTGATGACCTTGTATATGTTTTTTTATAATTATTTGATAAAGGTACAAAAATTTTGTCAATAAAAGCTACAAATAACATTAAACAGAGTTACAACTTGTTTCCTTTTCTAATAGCCTGTAGCAAAAAAACGTGGAAAATTATTTATCCTACAGAAATAAATAAGAGTCAAAGTGCAAAATTTAAACTCTCATAACTTCTAAATTTTTATAGATAGAATTTTTTTATTTTTTTTTTATGTTCCTGGTACCTTACCCTACATGGCATTTGTCTTTGGGGCGCGAGTTCTGGCGCACTCTGTATGTGCATATGATGTAGAACGTTACTCCTTCAACTTTTAAAATCGCGATATCTCAGGAATGGTGATTCTTGGAAAAAAAGTATAAAGACCATTTTGTAGATAATTTTAAGATCTATAATTTTCGTCTGAGCTACTTTTTTGATAAAACTTGCCGTTTTCGAAAAAAATCTAAAAAACGTCAAATATTGACCTTTCACCCCGAATAACTTTTTTAGCACACATGGGATCGATGGGGACTTTTGACACTTTATTTCTAATGGTATACCCAAGGTCTCCACCAAAATTTAGCTCTGTCGGAATTTTCGTTATTTGACCACTATTTTTATGACTAATTTGACCGGACTATATTTTTTATTATATTGAAACTGTATTTGGGTATCCGAGAGAGAAAAGTTAGATCTTTTTTTTTGGTGTATTCATAATTGAAAAAACAATTAACAAACCGCCAAAACGTAAGGTTAAATTAGAAAACTTCAAATACCCTTAAATCAATACCCTAATTTTTTCTTTACTAAATGGAGGAGAATTTAGTTCTGCTTCAATCTGTATTTTCCCTATACTATGTTTGATAGTTTTCTAGTTATAGTAAATTTTTTGATATTTTGAGAAATTGAGGTTGTCATAGAAATAAGAATAAAAAATAGAATATCAAAGTTATTAAAATTTTAGATTAAATAAATTTAATTTGTATTTACGAAAATAATAACACAATTGTAAAAAAAACTTGGCGTTTTTCCAGTGAGAAATTTCCATGGCAAGCTATGCGAAAACTACCATGGATAATAATGAATTTCTTCTATTGTAAAAAAAGTTAAAATATCGTAGAAGAAATTATTAAATTTAGGTAGAGGGAATGTTGATACAGATCGATGCAGAATTAAATTCTCTTTCATTTAGTGAAGAAAAAATTGGGGCCTTCCATTTGAAAAAATTCATTTACGAGTACTTTCCAAACGTAATAGTCCGGTCGAAATAGACATTTCAAATAACAAAAATTCCGACAGAGCTAAATTTTGGTGGAGATCTTGGGTACACCATTAGGAATAAAATGTCAAAAGTCCCCATCGATCCCATGTGTGCTATAAAAGTTATCCGGGGTCAAAGGTCAAAATTTGACGTTTTCTAGATTTTTTTCGAAAACGGTAGTTTAACAAAAAAGTAGCTCAGACAAAAATTATAGACCTTAAAATTATCTACAAAAATGGTCCTTATACTTTTTTTTCTAAGAATCACCATTCCTGAGATATCGCCATTCTAAAAGTTGAAGGAGTCACATTCTACATGATATGCACATACAGAGTGCGCCAGAACTCGCGCCTCAAAGAAAAATGCTATGTAGGGTAAAGGTACCAGGAACATGGAAAAAAAAATCTATCTATAAAAATTTCGAAGTTATGAGAGTTTAAATTTTGCACTTGACTATTTATTTCGGTTGGAAAAATATTTTTTTTGCTACAGGCTATTAGAAGCGGAAACAATGAAGCTGTATCCTAAACTGTAACTCTGTGTAATGTTATTTGTGGCTTTTGTTGGCAAAAGTTTTGTACCTTTACTTAATAATTGTAAAAAAAAAAATACAAAATCATCAGTATCATTAAATAGACATAAAAAATGTCAAATGTCAAAAAATAAATGTAAAAATTTTTTGACTGAGAATTTTTTAAACATTTTTCCATGTTTCTGGTATCTTATCTTACTTGAAATTTTTCTTCTACTTCATTAAACTTATAAATACCTCAATTCCATTAGAATTAAAAAGAATTTATTTGGTAATACATACAGGGTGTTCAAAAAATCGAGCATTTCCTTGAAAGGGAATAATTGGGTAGTCCCCAGAGTACTGAAAAAATGTTTAAAAAATTCTATCTGTCAAAAAAATTTGACATTTATTTTTTGACATTTGACATTTTTTATGTCTATTTAATAATACTGATGACCTTGTAAATGTTTTTTTATAATTATTTAATAAAGATACAAAAATTTTGTCAATAAAAGCCACAAATAACATTAAACAGAGTTACAGTTTAGGATACAGCTTCCTTGTTTCCGCTTCTAATAGCCTGTAGCAAAAAAAACGTGGAAAATTATTTATCCTACAGAAATAAATAAGAGTCAAAGTGCAAAATTTAAACTCTCATAACTTTGAAATTTTTATAGATAGAATTTTTTTTAAATATTTTCTATGTTCCTGGTGCCTTACCCTACATGGCATTTATCTTTGGGGTGCGAGTTCTGGCGCACTCTGTATGTGCATATGATGTAGAACGTGACTCCTTCAACTTTTATAATCGCGATAACTCAGGAATAGTGATTCTTAGAAAAAAAGTATAAAGACAATTTTTGTAGATAATTTTTAGATCTATAATTTTTCTCTGGGCTACTTTTTTGATAAAACTTACCGTTTTCGAAATTTTTTTTAAAAACCTCAAATTTTGACTTTTGACCCCCAATAACTTTTTTAGCACACATGGGATCGATGAGGACTTTTGACACTTTATTTCTAATGGTGTACCCAAGGTCTCCACCAAAATTTAGCTCTGTCGGAATTTTTGTTATTTGACCACTATTTTTATGACTAATTTGACCGGACTATAACCTTACATTTTGGAGGTTTGTTAATTATTTTTTCAATTATAAACACACGAAAAAAAATCTATCCTTCCTTTTTCATATGGCCAAATACGATTTCAAAATATTAATGGTAGAGTTATCAATTTTTGAAGAAGATGCAAATTAAAAGACTTTCAAAAAAGTCAAATTATTTCAAAAACGGTTAAATTTAGGCGTAGTGAAGTCTGATAAAATCTCTATCAAAATCAAGTGAGTAATCCAAAAACGCAATAAAAAATATAACTTTCTATTTAAAATGACAAAGTTGATACCCATTTCCGGTGTAACCGGAAATGCTGCCATCTTGAAAATATTTTCATTGAGCAGGATCTAAACAATTTTGGCTATAATCAAAATTTTTGATAAATATCACTGTAAGAACTCCTAATACTTCTAATGTAGAATTTAGCCGGAACAGCCTGTATAATTGATTCAGTGAGACAAAAAAGAATAAAAGTCTAAGTTACATCTTTGCTGCTTACGTCAGAGAACAAAATTGATAGCAATTTTGGTCGATCAAGATCAGCTATATTTAAAATATCTGTTTTTAGACGGTTTTAAGTCTGAAACTCATTTAAATCAATAATTTTATGAAAGTAAACCAGAAATTGTCATTTCAAGACTGAATTTCTCTGTTRCAACTTATTTAGCTCGTTTTTAAGATAGAAATTAGTTAAATAGAGCAAATGTATAGAAACAACTGCAAAAATTGTCGTTATAGGTCCTAATAACGAAATATTGGATCGCATGATTAAAATTATTTAGAACTAAAATCAGATTTCTTTAGATTTGTTGCAACTCACAGTCGCTGGAGAAGCTTGCTCCAAATCCATAACTTCAAAAATAAGCGACATTGTGCTTGACAAAGTCATAACTTCGCCACTCATCAAGCAAAGTTTCTTATTATCATCCAAAACACTGTTCATATTTTCGATCCAAACTGCATCGACAGGCCCATCGAAGATGATCCATTTCCGATCAGAGCTCGAATCGTTGGCATAATTACGGAAACAAGTTGCAACGACACCATCCGACCATTCGTACGAAATTGGGTCAAACTGTCCATAGAGTTGTCCCATTGTTATCGCTTTAGGATTCAGAATTGTATATTGTACTTTTGCTTCGCCACATCCTTGGTTGTTGATGAACGTCAAAGTATCGGCCAAAATTTGCAGTGTTGAAGTTTTACCAGCGAAAGGTTCCCCTACGATCATAAAACCCCACCTCACAATCATCATTTCATACGTTTGGATAATTTTCAAAAGAAAAGAGTTCTTTGGTTGCAAGTTACGTTTCTCGCAACATACATTCATAGCGTGTGTTAACATTTTGTAGTCAGCTTCAGAAAGAACAACTCCTGGGAACAAATCAGAGATGATTCCTTCAAACAGTGGAAGATCTTGATTAAGAAATTTCGGTAAATTGACGTCAAGTATAGCTCGCAATAATAAAATATCCTCATGTTCGTCTGGAAAATTCCTTTTGTTGTTACCAGCAGCGGAAAGGACCGATTTTACAGCTCTCATGCCATAATCGTAGTGATTTTGAGACGACAACTGTTCCGAACAAAGTCTATAAGTCGTAACAATTTTCACAGAAAGGTTTCTTGCGTCGATAAAACCATACGAGTACAAAGAAATCTCACCAATCATAGCATAATCCGGTACCATCATTGCAACAGTTCGAAACAGAACCTTCAAATTATCAGGTAATTCTGTTCGACCGGCATAACCCGGATTCATAGTGATACAAACATAGCAAGCCGGATTAAGAGATATTTCTGTTCCTTCGAAAAGAAATTTACTGGCGTTAGCACGGACTGCCATGATTATGGAAAGGATTTGTTGGGCTACGACTGATAACACCTCAATATCAATTCGATTGAATTCATCAAAGCAAGCCCATGCACCACAAGAAGCCAAACCTTTGAAAAATTTCCCCATGGCTTTGTAATCTAAACCATCGGAACAGTTGAACACAACACACTGAACAGCAATTGCTTTGGCCAAATCCTTTGTAGTTTCTGTTTTTCCTGTCCCAGCTGGACCTTCTGGAGCTCCGTTCAAGTGCAAATGGTAAGCTCCAATTAAAGTTCGATAACAGCGATCAGTCAAGGGTGTGATAACAAGACGATCGGTATTCCCCAAGTATTCGTAGGCGTATCGCACTGTTGCATTGATAAGTCGAACGTAGGACTCATCGTCTTCCAAATAATACCTCATTTGTGACAACCACTTGAATTCTTTATCATCTTTCACCTTCTTTTCTTGAAGGTCATGAACGACGTCTTTGGCATGGACGTCAATTACAATCAACGCTTTGATTGTAATTCTAGATAAATTAGTGAGTGTTGGGTCTCTAATCAAACCAACGATGTCTTTAAGTTGCTTTTTGAGTTGTTCAGAAAACGATTCAATAGACATATCTTCAACTCGATTTAATGCTTTGTGGACATGAGTGGTCCAATGCATTTGTGACACAGCTAGGACCACTTGTCCAGGCCACTTTTGTACCCATTTGGTCCTCGGCGTCACGAAATAATTCTTGAAACTTTTAATTATTTGCTCCCGAACAGACTTAACCATTTGGTCCTCGACCAAAATCAACCATTTCTCCACACTACCTCCGAACTCCTTAGTCTTGATCATTTCGACAAAATCAATTTGTTCTCCTTCTTGACTATACATCGCATGAATCTGTAATTGATCGTCAAATTTTAACCGATTGATTGCTTCGAAACATTTCTTTAAATGTGGTTGAACTCGTAAAGGGTCTTTAGTTTCAGACAAGATCTCCAACATTTCGTCATTTGACAAAAAGAAGAAGCGCGGGAAGAAAAGTCGTTTTCGCTCCAAGTAAGACACTACTCCATCATTGATTTTCTCTAAAAGTTCAATGCAGTGAACCATTGCTTCTAAAACACCAATAGCACCAGCGGTTTCGGTGACTCGAGGGTCCCTTAAGACCATATCCATGTATCTCTTGTAGGTATCGTTAACTTCTTTGAAAAGAAGCCCTTCTTCTGGCATTTGGCTTACTATATCTTTTGAGGAAAAAATCGGTAACAAGTACAGCCATTGCGACTGAACTTTACCCCATTCCTCGATTGTGTTGTTAATTCTGGTTAATTTCTCATAAAATATCTTAACTTCATTTTCGTATGGTCTGACAAAAACCGAGCCTCGCATTGTTAATGTCTTTAGAATGTGATCATCAAGAACGACTTGAATGTCATCCAATTGTGTCAAGATATGAATTCCTGTGTCTTTATAAATTCCAGTTTTGAAACAAATATCAACCCATTCCGCTTGCATTTTATTCAAATTTTTCAAAAGTTCTCGTTCTTTAGTTGCACTAGAACTGATAATCTCATATTTGTCAATTTCAGCTTCAAGACCCATTTGCATCAGTTTTCTCAGTGAAGTACCAGCGTTGGGAGTCATATCAAAACCCGCAACTTCTGACATTTCTTTCCAGTGTCTTTTCAATAAAGCATCGTTGCACATGATTTTCATCATTATCAAGGCCGGTCTGAAATCTTTGATATTGTGAATGGCTTTTGCTGTGAGTTTTAACGGCGCTGGCCAGTTTACCAGTTCAGGATCATCGACGATACCATCGAATCGTAAGGGAATATTCTCGGCTTGCGCTTGTCGTAACTTAATCCTGTAAGTTTTTTGAATTTTTAACAACTCCTTTTGGAACTCTTCAATCTGAGCTTCGGTCTCATCAGCGTTGAGAAATTCAAATTGGCCGTCTAACCAAACTCCTATTTTCCTTTCAAGATTTAAACAAAGTTTTAAAAGGTGATAAAAGGGAAACAAGTGATTTGCTGTTTCTTCATATTTATTAAAAGTAGTGACTCCAAAACCCAAACTGGTTTCTTCTTTGTTACTCCACAGAATTTTCTTTCGAACATCTCTCATAACTTCTAAAAACGGGGCCATTTTGTGTACGTACTCTCTCACATTGACAACATCATCCATGTCGTTTAGAATCACTAGTTTGGGTTCTAGATCATGAAGAGCAATTGCTATTTCTTCTTTAGTTTTTTGCAATTTTTCCTCAGCTTCAAACTTAAATTGCTCGTACATGGTTGAATTTTGATCAAGAATTGGTTCAATTTTCATCAACCAATTAACAGTATCTGAATTTAAGTCCATGTGGTCGCGAGTAATTTCACCAAATTCAATCAGTTTGACTAGATTGTATAACATTTGCTGGATTCGCTCTCTGAGTTCTTTAAGATGAACAGTTTTCACCCAAATCATGTATTTGCCTTGTGCTATAAGTTCCTCTGTGTTGGCTGGAATTTCAAGTGCTTTCTCTTTAACATCTTGAAAACATTGGCAAATTGCTTCGTCTTCTCTACGATGTTCTAAACTGATTTTGGCATGAGTTTCGTCAATTATTTGTTGTAAGGAAGCTTTCAAATTATCAACATATTCAGATAAAATGAGTTGACCAATCGCAAAGTATTCATTAGTTAAATCAGTCATGGCCTTTTTGATGTAGCTCTTGTAGTAAGCAATTTGATTGAAACCTTTAGTAAAAGTCATTGCTCCTTCTTCACTAGAATCTCCTCCAATATCAGCATAGACATCTCCAAACTCAGATTCAACATATCCTAGATATGCAAAAATCGGTTCATACATCTTGGCAATGTTCTTCGACATTTCTTTAATGCAAGAACTTACAAAATCTTCGGTGACATTGAGGTACATACAATTTTCACTCAAAGCTTCATTTTTTGCCGATTCTAATATTGGGAAATTTTCACCAGTATCAACAAGTTCTCTGAAAAATAGCGTATATAAAGCAATGACTTCTTCCATTGTCGGTTTTAAAGAAAGACCGTCTTCTCCAAATATCAAAGTGAGTTTGAGATACGGAATCAAATCTTCATTTCCGGTGACTCTGGTGATATATTTCATCGATTCGATGATTGTTTGGCTCATATGAACCGAAAATAAACCCGTGCAAGCTGAAAGATGATCATTATTCTTACTTTTGTCTTTTTGTACCATAGTATAAAGTCTTGTGTAAAGATCTTTGAACAAAGCTTTTGCTTCCTTGGTATAATTATAGAAAACGTCGTTTAAGGCGGCAATGTCTATAGGTTCGCTGTTTTTGACTCCGAAATCAAAAATTTTATCTGGTAAAAATGTAACACATTCATTAAGTACTGCTCGAATTAGAGGATGATGCAGTTTCCATTTTCTCAATATTTTCTTTCTGTTAGCTAAGTAAACTTCATAGCGTTTAGATTTTCCCAAAAATTTGAATGTTTCAAGATGTATGTGTCCGTCAGTTTTGTCTAACGGTTTAGTTTTCAAATTAACACTCACTCCATGAATCGTTTCAATAAATTCATCTCGCGCTTCCTCTAAAATAGTTTCGACTACTTGAGGATACACATCCTGAAGACCTCCAGTTTGCACCCGCTTCATTATTTCTCTTAAAACAAACATTAATTTTATAGTTTTGGGACCTGATTCAGCGAAAGCTCTAATATCAAAATGTGAAGTGTTTTTCTGGGGAACTTCGGGATATAATTCCTTCAGTTTCGTCTTGTGTTCTTTCTTTTTTGTTTCTTTCGATACTTGGCATTTGTATTCGAGTAAATAATGCCGTTTTTTCGAGGAGATTTTGAAACGTTCCAGCAAATCTTCTGATAATGTAGTGGTTATTATTTCTTCCAAAATGGGGATGTTTTGAGTCTTGGGTTGCATTTTTCGACATCTTCGAAAAATTTCTTTGTATTTGTTATCCATATAAAGAGTTTATCAAATTATTTCTTTTCATAAAAAGATAAAAGCAAGATTATCACTTGTCTATAAAATGTCAGTTTGATTTTTATCATATTGTGACATTTTTGACAAATTTTGAAATAATGCAAAATTTAATGGGGTCATGACTCGTGATGATTCCTGATCTTAATAATTAATCTTTTTCAAAGCAGTAGCAATAAATATTTAATTTTTTTAAAAAATAACTATTAGAAATCACATTATTAGTTGACAACAAATCTTAAACACACTAAGATAAAAAAATTAAAATTGGTAGTATTTTCATAGCACACCCGGGATGTTCCAGCTTCACTGGAAAATTCCTTTTTATGAATGATTCCCGCAATCTAAACAAAGCTGTCGCGCTGTAAATCCTACTTTACATTGCTCTATTATGAATATCTTTTACTAAAATATTTATAAATAGTTAACAAAATAAAAAATTAATCATAAATAAAATAAAAACTGCAATTTTTCATTCATTTCATTATTATTACAAGTCCATTATTTTTCTTATCAATGTTTTTTCTAATGAAATTGGAGCACTTTACATCCGCCCAAAATAAATTTTTGGATCGTGTTACCATGTGAAACTCCAGAATAAAATAATGAATCTATTGTGTTTATACATTAAACATTTCATATTTTTTATTCTAATTAAGGTGTAATGTGGTTCTAAAAAGGTATAATTCATTAGCAAAAATATTTTTTTTATAATTTTAGTCGATATCTCTAAATATTTTAAAATCTAGAAGTAATTTTTAGAATACTCAACAAAAAAGTAAGAATTTTATTTAAATTGTATTTACCTAAAAGAATTGTGTAAAAAAATTCTTATACACTATATAGTTTTACTGGTAGACCGTTTTATTATTGTATAAAGTATTTGACATTTCTTTTACAGACAAGTATAAAATTTCAATGTTATTTTTAGGAATTGAATCCTAACCAAGTGGACAATGTGTAATTAACGTTAATAATCACAATATGTATATGATACTCGCAACGCCCCTTAAAAACGATATTGGGAAAAATGTGTTTGTACGTAACAGTTCACTTTAATCATATTCCAAAAACGGTTGCTAAAGTAAACTAGACTATGAACTATTAGTGTATGTGTGTTTTTAAAATGTTTTTCTTTTGTTTTACTTTATCTTGTTTATATAATTTTGTGTTTGGAGTGAATTATTTTGGGCCACAGTAAGTGATTCTTTTTAAAATATTTTAAAGAAAACTGCAGTACTTACGAATTTAGTTTTGATTGTTGCAAACATACATATGTCAATCAACCGAATCTATTTCTTAATCGTTAGTGTTGTCGCAGTTGTAACGGTTTCAAAATTTAAATAAAAATAAGTTGGTAACATTACAGTCCAGTTGTAATTCACAATGTTACCAGTTTGAAACCAAAATTGGCATCATTGAGGTGATGATAAATTTGTATCAAATACCAGTTGTTTAACTTTGTAAACGGTTAGTTATAGTTATTTAAGTAACAAGGATTACAATAAATGTTAACACCTCTTAATTGCCATTTAAAATGATTTTTTCTGTTTAACATTTTGAGTGCAATCATGCAGGGTGTTTTACATAATTCTACGAGGTCTGCGTCTCTAAGATGCAATCAATAATACATACAGGGTGAATATAAAGTATGGAACCAAGCGGTTTTATTTTTAATCATTTGCCTCCAGAAAATAATAATTAATATAAATTAAAGTAATATAAAAAAAGTGATCGTATTTTCAGAACGAAATTTTGTTTTGTTTTTGAGTTATGCGATTTTTTTTGTCAAAATTGCAATTTATGTGAAAAAATTTTTTTGAAAAAATTAAATATAAAGCAGATAGTTGTAATCCTTAGAGTATAGCTTTTTTGAGAAAAATGATTTTATAGTGGGTTGCCATTTAAAAAAATATTTTTTTTGTATTGAATTATACAAATTAAACAAAAGGAAATTTCGAAAAATGTTATTCTTTTTAAATCATCACATTTTTATAGTAGTTTATCACTCATCAATTAGTTTTTTCAAAAAATATTGACTTTAATTATTTTAGTTGGAAAAATAATTTTCCAAGTTTTTTTGCTACTGGCTGTTATAGAAGAGGAAACAATGAAGCTGTATCCTAAATTGTAACTCTGTTTAATGTTATTTGTGGCTTTTATTGGAAAAAAATTTTGTATTTTTCCTAAATGATTATAAAAAACATATACAAGATCATCAGTACTTACCATTAAATAGATATGTATAAAAAATGTCAAATGTAAAAAATAAATGTCTAAAATTTTTGACATAGAATTTTTTAAACATTTTTTTTCATGTTTCTGGTATCTTGTCTTACTTGAAATTTTTCTCTGGGGCGCGAGTTCTGACACAGCCTGTATATATGGGGACTTTTCTAATATCATTATATCGTTATTACAATGCAATTGTGATATACCTAGGTATTTCTGAAATTTTCTAAGATGAAACCAAAAATATTTATCTCTAAAAATTCCGAAGTTTTGAGAGTTCCTTAGTGATGCGCTAATCTCACTCTTCGATACTCTGGTGTGACAGCGCTAAAAACGTTCTTCGTGCCAGCTCTCGTACCAAAAAGGCCGGAAACTCGTAAATTGTCGCATAGGTGATTTTTGGGGGGTAAGTAGGTGCGCACTAATTAAAACACATGAAAACTGTAACTGGTGTTCCTGGCGCAAAGTTTTGAATTTCTGTCTCTTTGTTTACATGTGCCCCTTCGATGATTTAAAAGGGTTATTTTAATGTTACAATACACAATGATAAAATAACAATTGATTAGATTTTATAATTTAGCATTTAAATAAATTTTAGAAAATTTTAGAACTTAGGGTAATAAAGGTTATGAATCAATAATAAGTTAAAAAAATTAAAAATAAGTTAATTAAACCTTTTTTTTTGTCGAATATCAATAAATTACCACTTAATCCTACCAGAAAAAATCAGGTGTGAACATCACACGAATTTCCTTATCCAACTTATTTGGAAAACACCCTTACGACAATAAGTTAGTGTTGAAAATCCGATTAGCAAATCTTACGTTTGCGTTAGTGCTATTATATATCACCGCCTCCTTAATCAAATGTATCAATATCCCGCCTGGGCATTTCGTAAAAAATGCATTGGAGCAGTGATTCCSATTTTTTCTTAGTTACGGGGGTTACTAAGGAAAAACTGAATAATTTTTAACTATTAACGAAAAATAACGCAATTAATAAATGCTGGGAAGGAAGGATACAACAAAACTAGATACGCCAGGGAGAATTGATATTATGAGATTGAACCCTTTAAGCTAAAAAACTGGATTTGTCAAAAAAAATTCCCCAGATTAAAGCGCCAACGGGAATCACTTGAACTCAAAAAATGCCCAGGCGAGAAAAGGATTATTTCTATGGAGACGGCGATGTTATATATACCTACCGGATTACACGCGAAATAGATCATAGTTGTCGTGAGTTCGAGTCTGGGGTGCAATTTTTTTTTAGTTCGGTAGCCATTTTTATATTTATTTTATCACATTTTACTGTTTAATAAGGTATGTTTCATGATACTAAATAATTTTTATCCCCATGAATTTATTGTATCTTTAACCGTATTATTTTGCGGCCGCAAAATTCGTCCAGAAATGTAAAAATATAGGTAGGTCAATTTTCAGCCGATTACAATACTTTCCTTATAGGATAAGGAAAGTAAAAATGTTGACACTCATGGCGTGAAAAAATGTAATGTCAATATTGGTGTCATCAAAATTATCTAAGTCTAATACCTGGGGTTTTTAACACGGTATATCTCTAAGAAACTTTTATTAGATTTTTTTTTTCACTATTAGTTATTATTTATTATTATTATTTGGCATAATCTATCATACTCTAAAATTGTGCGTTTATGAGTTAAGACTCACCTTGTATAATTATGAATTTTATGACAGAGAGATGCTGCAAAAATGGAAATTTTGACGACTTTTTACATAAAACTAAGCATAAAACAATAATTTTAGCTGCAATTTGAGCTAAAAATATTACATTTATTTCAGATCTAGAATAGTGTCTCAAGATGGCCACCTAATTTTTTATGCTGCAGTTCACAAAAATATTAGCTTACAAACTCAAGGAAGAGGAAAAATACACGTTAATGGAATAGACTTATCTCAAGCAGCTAAATTAGTAAGTATTATTAACTTTAAGTCAATATTTATTACAATTAAATTGCTTTTCTTCTAGACGACTAGCGCATTTGAAGCTATGAAAAAATACCAAACAAATTTCGAAAACACTTTTGAAAAAGTTTCAAGATTTGAGCAACTTCTTGACGATGGTTTAATGCAAAAAATAACAACATTGAACGGTAGAACAAATGCCACAATACAATTGCCAGTAAACAGCGCGGTATTTACTAATCTAATCGAAATAAAAAATACATTTAAATGATTTCAGTCTGTGGTAAGAAGTGTTCGAAGGTTGAACAGAAGAGTTACTGCTCTCCAAAAATCTGTGAAAATGTTGGCTGAACTTTTAGAAGTTGATGATTGTCAGAGTAATCCTTGTAAAAACGGAGGTACTTGTCAAGATTTATTTAATGCTTTTCTATGTCAATGTCCACCTGAGTGGGAGGTTTGTTTAAAAACCCACAAAGTTTAAAAATTAATTAAAATTTCCAGGGGCCTTTTTGCGACAAAGATGTAAACGAATGTGCCAGATTTGCAGGAACGGATTTAGGGTGTCAAAACGGCGCAACTTGCGTTAACCGGCCAGGTTCATACGAGTAAGCAGCTAATCGAACATTTTCAAAAGTCCTTTTTTCTTTAATAAATTTTTTAAAGGTGTTTGTGTTCCCGTGGATGGTTTGGACTTCACTGCAGACGGCGAAGCGTAGATTGTAGAGAAGGTTCCAATTCAGAGCTTTGTGGTCACGGCACTTGTGTCACACAATATAATGATGTTGGATATAAATGTATTTGTGATGAAGTAATTCTCTTATATGCTTGTGACTTTTCGAATTTATAATCTTATATTTTGCAGGGATGGACAACAGATGGTAAAACTCCAGCTTGTAATACTGATGTTAATGAATGTACATCAAATAAACCTCCTTGTTCTGTTAATCCGCTTGTACAGTGCATTAATCTACCGGGATCTTTCCACTGTGGTAGCTGTCCAGCTGGTAAATAATAATTATAATAGTGTTAATGCATTTTTTTAAATAGCATACAATTATGGAAAAAAAGTTGCAATCATAGTTTTCCTTTTTTGCGTTTGAAAGAAAGTTTATTTCGATATCAAAACCGATGCTTTATTGAGCCATTTCAACACCGATTCGGGTGCTGGAATAGACTAGTACAATTTACTTTGTAGAGGTTGGTAATGGGGGTTTTACGCGCCGTTTTGAGCGATTCATCTTTTTTCAGGTGGTGTGTATACAATTTTTGCAGTATTCATTGTTAATTCAACAACATTTTGGAAAATATTTAAAATATTTGAGACTCTACACTTCGAAAATTGAATTTTCAAACTTTGTGACATATACTACCAACCACCACCTTATTAGGGCAAAAGTTCCTAAATCTTGAAAAATTGACTTTTATGTTAAAAGAGTACGTAAAAGCGCAAAATAGAAAAAATAGTATAAAAAACTTGTTTCATAAGTCATTTGTGGATACTCGTACTTCGCTGCTCGTTTCATAAACTTGAACTCGTTCCACAAAACCTACAGTTCTTCACTGACGGACACGGAATTTTGGACGATTTGTAATTTGACTGACATAAAAATGTAAAACGGGCCTTAGGCAACTAACCTCTTTTTCGGTTTTTGTAATTTTGATCCTAATAGGAAGAGAAAAAAATGACTACAAATCAAAATAATTTATTGAATTTATTTAAAAACACGTATTGCTGGCATTATTGTTTCGGAAATCGCCACTGTACATATTTTATACAAAAAGTTTACATCACACGTGCTAATGAATTTTTTTTGGTACTAATTAAGAAATCCAGAGTCTGGCAAAATTTTTATGAGGATTCATGGGGGCACAAATTAAATATATTGAACTTATTTTTTCCGTTATGAATCTTTGATTTACTAAAGTAGATCAAAAACTTACAGTAGAAATAAATTGCAATTGGAATTTGAATTTTTCACGTGCCAGACTTAAAAATTAGAACGCATTTATTTTGTCCAACATTTTTAAAGACTATTAGTAAGTACTAAAAAAAAATCATTAGCTCCTGAACTAATCCACTCACCGGCAAAAATATCGCATCACATAGAAAAAGGGATTTTTTATTGAAATAAGGCTTAAAAAAATAAAGGCATCAAAAATTAATTAACTAATTAACGTTAAGTTAAACTAAAATTACGACTTAAACTTCAACAATTAAACTACAATTAATGATTGTCAAAAGAAACAAAAAAAACGAACGGATCAGTTTTTTAGCTTAGAAATGCTTATGTTACATTCGGAGGCAACCATTAATTTAATTAATTAACCATTAGTACTGCCTCCTCGAGCCTGGAAAGAAGCTCATTTTATGTTTTTATATTGTCAATTTTAGTACTACATATTTTCAGACCCATTTAGCCATTTTAAATATTTTTATGATGCGATAATTATGCCGGTCAGTGTATTAGGGTTGCTATTAAAAAATTTAATAAATTTTTCAGAACTCCATAACTTACCATAAATTTGTTTTTCAAAAACGTTCAACTATTAAATAAGTAATTTCTAATTTTATTAATAAAAAATATTACAAAAAAACTATTATTGAAAACTTCAAGAAAAGCGAGTTGTTTTTGAATATAAAGTCTCCTTAGAGTAACTTTTGTGGTTATTCTTTACGAAAATATTAGAACTATTTATACATGTGTCCCAGRGAGTTGAAAAAGTCCATTAGTGACTTTTAAATAGTAAAATTTAAAAAAATTTAGACAGGGCATTGATAGATACTAATCTAATCCATCGCCTAAAATTATTTTCAACTATACAACGTGTTTCAAAAATAAGTTACAATACAAATTTGTGTTTTTTTTAATGAAACGCTGTATGATTCTTAGTGTTTTTGGATGTAGATTTTTATGATAATGTTTTTAAGCTAAACTTTTATTGGTCGATTTTGCTTTGTTTTAAAAATTAGACGGTTTTTTGGACGAAAACATGCACCTTTTAAAAATCTATTACACAAAAAATAAGACATGTAAAATTTTTTTACTAGCGCAAAGAAGAACGTACAAGCTATAAGGTTGTAAATTTTTTTTAATGTGTGCATTTGCACCCTATTTAATGTTTTTTGCATTTAAAAGATTATTAAATTGCCTTTCTAAAATTATTTACTTTTAGGTGTTTATAATTAATAACTAAAAAGATATATAACGTTAAACATTTTAAAAAATTATTATTATTGTTTCGGTAGCCAAAAAGTGCACAAGAGATGGAAGAAATATCACTTAATAATCACATTTGTGTTATACTGAATTCATTATTCTTTATTTTTACAATAAAATAATCCGAATTTCAGTATTTATAACGACTTTTACAATCTTTAGATAAATCAACGGATAAGTAATCCGTGGTGGAATTATTATAGTTGCCATAGTATCAACAATGCTCAGATATTGATTGCGTTGTTGCTAAAATTAATATTGAACGTTAAATATCTTTTCATTTATCAATTCTAGACATTAAGAGTTTATTTTTTTAAATAGACAATTTATCAATCTATTAGATGCAAAAATAAAAAATAAGGTGTTCCATTTAATTCTTTTAAGTTACTTAACTTTTAACAAACTTCTTAATTTAGTAGTAGTAATTGCTATATCTTTAAATTCTGTACTTTCTTCTTTGCAGAAATAAGAAAAAAATTGTTCTAGCTGTCTTAGTTTTTGTATAATAAATTTTTAAAAAGTGATGTTTTCGTCAAAAAAACGTCTTATTTCTAAAACTAAGAAAAATCGACTAATGAAAGATTGGCGTAATAACATTGTTTTAAAAGGCTACATCCAAAAATGCAAAGAAACATACGGTATTTCATTTAAAAAAAAAACACAAGTTTGTATCGTATGTATGTATTTTTGGAACATGTTGTATGGTTGAAAATAATTTTAGATGATGCACTAGATTAGTATCTATCAATGTCCTATACATTTTTTTTTTCTAATTTTACCATTTAGGTCACTAATGGACTTTTTCAACTAGCTAGGACACCCTGTATGAGTAAAATACTTTTATAATACAGGATGTTCCGTTTTTATTGTTACAAATTTGAACAGGTGATAGGATTTTGAATTCTAAAACAAAAGTTTCCTATAAACATGTATCGAAAAATGCTTGGTAAGGGAGCTACTCCCCTGAAAGTGAGCTAATATGTTTTTGCTAATATTTCAGAAACCATTTAAGATAAAATTACAAAATTTGATACAAATGATAACCTTTATACACCTAAACGAATTCAAACATCAAATGTCGCAATTTCAATCAGGGGCGTACGAAACTGGGGGAGTTTAAGGTAAAAAAATACCCTATTTATTTTGGCTTTAGTTTCTCGGTACTTTCAGCAACAAAATCTTAAGTTCGATAGTTTATCGCAGAAAAGTCTCTCTTGTGTCGATACGACTTATTGTTTTTGAATAAAATTAATTTAAAATTTATGTTACACACCAATACAACATTCAAATAAATCAGAATTTACAGAATAATAAAAGCAAGAAATCTATATTTTTTKATCAACCTCAACTAATTAACATTACATTACAGTAACAATAATAACATTAATTAAATGAATTTGCCTAAATCTAAAGGAGTTGTTCAAAGTGACCACTATTTTGGTCAATGCATAACTAAAGAAACTAAAGCCAAAATAAATAGGGTATTTTTTTACCCTAAACCCCACCAGTTTCGGACGCCCCTGATTAAAAATTTAGACGTTTAATGTTTGAATTTGTTTTGGTGTATAAAGGTTATCATCTGTACCAAATTTGGAAATTTTATCTTAAATGGTTTCTGAAATATTAGCAAAAACCTATTAGCCGACCTTTCAGGGGGTGTAGCTCCCTTACCAAGCATTTTTCGATACATGTTTATAGGAAACTTTTGTCTTAGAATTGAATATCCTATTACCTGTTTAAATTTGTAACAATAAAAACGGAACACCCTGTATATGCACTATCTCAGTGACTCTGACATTAATAACGTAAACCACTTAATGAAATGCAAATAAATACCACTAGTTCAATCAAATTTCTGATTACCTTACATGGCATTTTTCTCTAGGGTGCGAATTTTGGGGCATCCTGTATAAGGTGCCGATTTTAACTATCTTTTTATTCTTTTAGGATACACTGGCAATGGCTACTACTGTACAGACATTGACGAGTGCAGTACAACATTAAACGGGGGATGTAGTACCAATCCAATGGTACAGTGTATCAACACTCTTGTAAACACTATAATAATTTCCAGTCGCATTGCTTTTTAACACTCTTTTGTTAGGGATCGAGATTTTGCGGAAGTTGTCCTCCTGGATACGTAGGAGATGGAGTAACSTGTTCATATCAAGGAGTATGTAGCGTAAATAATGGGGGTTGTCACTCTTTGGCAACTTGCAGAAGTAACCCAAGTAAGTAAATACAACAGATTTATTTTGTGTGGGAAATTAATATTTTTTTATTTAGGGATTAGTTCTACTTTTGTCGAATGTATTTGCCCTAATGACTACACCGGTAATGGAATTGGACRTAATGGTTGTGTCCGTTCGTTGCCTGCAGCTCAAGGTCCTTGTACGTCAAATCCTTGTAGACGTGGATTTTGCAGAGTTACTAATGGGACCGATTACACGTGCCACTGTCCCAGAAGATATACAGGTATTCAGTCATATACAGGCTGTTTCACATAATTTTACGAGGCCTGCGCCTGTAAGATGCAATCAATAATACATATTCCGATACGAACTTGATTATAAATTTTGAAAAACTGGATAATCTTCTCTAGTTTGTTCACCCTTTAAAAAATTACAACGCTTTTAGTTAGTAGTGATTAAGATAGATAAACTAGAATCATATTCATTTGTTCTTGATAGAACAAATGATAATTGTTTCTGAAATACTACAGTTTATGACTATTAATGAAACAGTGATTCTGATTAGTTTGACAACTACTTTATTCAGTGTTTTGTGACTTTTGTATAATTGGGTGACGGTATTTTGACTACCTCTTTATAATAATTTCTAAATTTAGTAAAATTTCTGATTCAATATTAGTGATGCAAAAAATTTTGAAAACAACACGAGTTTTATAATTTAAAAATCTCAGCCAATTAAATTCTCGCTCCCTCCGGTCGCACGAATTTAAACTACGAACTCGATTTTTAAACTGTCTACAAAACTTTAGTTGTCTTAATAGCTATTTATAAATAGTGTATTACATAACGAGCACGGAAAGTGACAAATAACGCACAAGTGGGGACTCTTATGTACGAGGCATTAGCCGAGTGCAGAATCCCCACGCATCTTATCCATAATCACTCTATAAAGAAACTTTATTCCACACTTTAGATGCGTATAAAGTACCACTTTATTCACTAGTGGAATATAGTAACTTTATTCCACTGTTAGTAACCAGCGCATCGCGTAACAGCTTACTACGTTTAACCGAAAGTACATTTGGCGTGACGTTTAAATGTCAGATTAATTTTTAATTATCTTTGGAATAATTTGGGCCTGTGATTGTGGATAAAACATTATATTGCAGTCGTGTGTTAGTCGCGTTTTATCCACTTAAGAAAATTAACGGTTAAACATTCTTGCGTGGATAAAACGCTATCTAACACACTCTTACAATAAATAACTATTATAGAGTGATTGTGGATAAAAATTAAAATCAAATAACTTGGCAACCTCCGTTCCATTCCAAATCATAAACAAAACATTGTTTTTAAAATGGACCTTTAGTGAAACAAACAATGGTTTAAAAATCCACTTAATCTTCAGGTTGCCTTAAAAAAAATTAAATTAAGTACGGTTCTCTGAAATGATAAAAGATAAAAATTAACCATTTTTATACCTTGACAATCGTTGACCAAATAAATTTTTGATATCACCATATTAATAGTTATTAACTTATCAAACTAACTTACAAAATTTTTTTAGGTAAAAACTGTGAAAAATTCCGCGATTTATGTGCTTCCAACCCGTGCCAAAATGGAGCAACTTGCAACTCATTCTTGGGCATATCTTACCAGTGTTTGTGTCCATCGGCTTATACAGGATTGCGTTGTGAAACTGAAAAACAAGGTAAAAATTAAATCGGAGAACATCAACAATTTTACCAAAAATTTCTTACAGCTTGTGGTGGTCGCTTGGTGGGAGAAACTGGTGCATTGGTTTTTCCTTCGGGTTCTTCACAGACTTACGGAAGTGCAATGAGTTGCGCCTGGATCATAGAAACAAATGTTACCAAAGTCCTAAATATCACTTTCAAACGTTTTGATGTCGAAGGATCTCATGGTTGTCGTTATGACTGGCTACAGGTGATAAAACTGACTAAAAGAAGAATTATAGAAAAAGAAATTTTTAGATACATGATGGGAAAAATACACTAGCACGATCTTTGGGTAGATTTTGTGGGCACCAGTTACCAAATGGCGGAAATATTGTTACGACTCATAATACTGTCTATCTGTGGTTTAGATCGGACCATTCTGTTGCAGCGGAAGGTTTTGAATTAAACTGGACATCGATTGTACCATGTATTACTTCCACATACACAGTGATTTATAATTATAATAGAAGTGAAAACCATTGGCATAGGGTGAAGGTTATTTAAGAAAAAATATGAAAGCCATAATACAAAAATTGTAGCCTATAAGGCAATGCTTTTTCTTTTGTAATTTATTTCTTAAAAAAGTTTTCCGGCCAAGTGCCAAGGTTTTACTGGCTATTATACACATAAATCACACTGCTTTTAAAATCATATTACGATTTTTTAGTTTGTGGAGACCAATTGAAAGAAGTGATTTCTCATGGAATTATCCAGTCACCCGGATCTCCTGGCAACTACCCAAATAATCGGTAATTAGCATATTTTTATGATGTCTGAAAGAAAATATTTAAAATCCGACGCACAGAGGCATCTACAGACTATAATTTTTAATTAAATTCTTTAGGGTGCAACAAAACTATATATTTTTTTCTGATTTCGCTAAACAATTACAGGAAATGAATGTGCGTAGATCAGTATAAAAATTAGAATTCAACATTTTGGGAAAAAATTCCTTTTTATTTTTTTGGTTTTCTTTGTGAATGAATAATTACCAAAAAATTAGAGAATGTACATACAAAATGTTACCCAAAATGTTACAATTTATGTTAAAAAAATTATAAACTTTCTTGAAGGTAATTAAAATTATCGTCTGTTTGATCATGCCATTTTATCTTTCAACTTGACATTTTATTTGACGTTTCACAGACATACGTTTTCGGGTCCAAGGATGACTCGATCACAAATTATCTTGATCAGGGGCGTCATTACGGGGGACAATGCCCCCCCCCCCTGACTATAATTACCCATCAAGGTAATCAAGTGACCCTTTAACTGACCCTATTTAAATTACCGTTTGTTTTTATTTTTATATTGTTTGAATGAATAAATTATATGCAATTAGTTACATAGACCTTGTTCCAAATCAAAAATGACTGAATTTTAACACTAAACATATGTTTACAATTAAAAAAAATATTGTTCATAGGCGTCATATGAACTAATATTTCAAAACCAGTTATTTTTTTTTTAAATATAATAAGTAGGTACATAAGATGAAGAATGATGAACAAATTATTAACGCATGAAAAGAATTTTTGAAAAATGATATTTCTAACAATCCTTGTCTTCAAAATTTATAGAGAAAGAAAAGTACGCCCATGTATTTTTTTATCTTAACCAAGTGGGCGCATTCTAAGTGTCTTTTCTGTCACTGTTAGTTCGCCACCAGATATGGAATAAGCTCTACCTATGTGTTAACATTATTATTATTATCTAGAGTTATATTTATTAATTTTTAAAGCTTACTCGTGTGCTAATCAATTAACTTACTGCGCCCCCTCTCAAGAAAATTTCAAATGACGCCCCTGATCTTGATCGCTCGATATATGTGGTGTCATTTAAAAAAAACTGTGATGACGTCACTATTTCCGACATATGACAACAAAACTTAAACTTCATTGGCGTCTAACTACACCTTATGGTTACATTTTTTACCCTTTCAAGCGTTTTTACGAAAAAACATTTACCCTTTGAATAAAATTCTTAAATTTAATATTCAATTGTTATTTTCTCGATCACTTTATAAGTAACGTGTTAAAAAATTATACCACAACTTTGATGCCTAAATGCTTTATTTAAAATCTGTAAAAAATACAGGTTTCCATTAAAAAAAAACAGTTTGAAGATTTTTTCAAGAAAAGAATAGTTTTAATTAAATTTATTCACGAGTTTTGTTACACCCTGTATATTTTGTTCAAATTTAACAAATATTTATTTATGTATACAGTGACTGTTATTGGCCACTCCAAGCTCCAGCAGGAAAACGCCTTCTGTTCCATTTCTTCACTCTGATGATTGGAAATAACTCAGCCTGTGATCATGATTATTTAGAAGTAAATTTAATTTAAATAATTTACCATCAAATAAAAATTCAACATTTTTTTTTTAGTTTATTACTGGAACTGAACCATCAGATCCAGTTTTCGCCAAATTTTGTAATACAACTCATCCGTCTCCACTATTTTCTCCATCTGCCGAGGTTTTGGTCCATTTCCACTCTGACATGGATAAAAATTACCCAGGATTTCAAATTACATATTCTGTAGTCGAAGGAATGCCGGGATGTGGGGGAGTTTACACGAGATATCAAGATGAAATTCGGTCTCCCGTGTATAACGGAAATTACCCGAACGATATTCAGTGTGAATATAAAATCCAACTGTCGACAAGTACACGAATAAAATTAACTTTTCTTTCGTTTGATGTCGAAGATTCTGAAGAGTGCCAATTCGATTATGTTGCAGTAAGATTATACATATGTTTCTTATTTTCGCTCATTTCTTGATTTTAATTCTGATGGCCGTTTTTGACGGCTGTTTTCATAAGTAATGATATTGGACGTTTTAAAATTCTTGAAAACTAGTAAAATGTTACGATTGTACTAAAAAAATCTTTACTTTTATTACAAATTTAAATGAAAATTTGTTTCTGGGTCAAATACAACTTTTCTTTTTTGAGTTAAAGTCTAATATACAGTATGTCCCCGAATTGAGCTTACAAGAGGAAAAAAATTTATTCTTCGACACTGTCAAAATTTACGGTTTTTCTCAATTTTGGCATTTCTCAATATGAAACGTCAGATTATTTTTAACAGGTTTAAAGCAAGTTTAGGAGCCTTGTTGAGTCTAATTCGAAGAATAAAATGTTGTATTCAACTCGTTTGAGTTTGAGTAAATCGGACGCTTTATTCCACCTCGTGGATGATAAAAATCCACTCGGTAACATAAAGCGTCCAATTTACACTCAAACTCGTAGAATAAATAACTATTATCTTTGATTTTACGCCAAAACTTCAGTGAAAAGAAAAGTTTTTTTTTCTTGATTTTCGACTTAGAATAATTTTTCTCTGCTTTTTAAGTCTTATCACATTGGTGGTTTTAATTATTTGACAACTATATGCCTCTTTGACAATTAATTTATTAATTAAATAATGATAGTTCTTGTTAAAAATGACTTTGGTTTTTATCTTAAAGATGTTTCTTTGAGTTGCTATTTATTAAAATTATGTTTTTCATAAATAATTTTGTTATTTAACTTGCGTAAACTCATTTGTCAAACTGACATCATTGTCAAAATAATAAAATGTGATAGAACTTAAAAAGCAGAGAAAAATTATTGTCTTAATTAAGTCTAAAATCAAGAGAAAAACAAACTTTTCTTTTCACTGAATAAGAATAATGAAGTTTTAAGTACAGATTTGGTCGTTTCAGGTAAAGCAAAAAATTCACTAGTGGTTGGTACAGCCGACCAATTTTGTTTTCGCGGTATTAAACGGTAAAAAAATCACCTTATCAAACTGGTTAGCTGCGTCTGGAAGTTGTTAATGTACTGGTTCGGCCTTTTAAAGATCTTGATCTTGATCTTGATTCTAGTATACACACCGTGATTTGGTACGAGGGGCACTAGAAAAGTTATCTACCTAGCAATGAAACAAAAGACGTAGAATTTTTTGATAATTTTATTTTTCAATCCCCCCCTACATCAATACAGTTGCGCCATTTCTCCTACAGTAAATGTTTACCTTTATAAAAAATGTTCCCTCTTGACTTGACTTTAAAAAAATTTGTCGTCGGCTACTTTTAGGCCATTATCAGCGTCCTCGAAAATTTTTCTTTAGTAATCGAAAAAGATAAAAGTTAGACGGAACTATAGGGAGGATGTTCTGTCTTAACGAAGCTGCAAAATTGGCTTAATTTTGGCGGACTTATGCACGGTTGAATTGTCATGCAGCAAAAACACTTCTCAATTAGAAAAAATGAGTCTTTTCTGGTAAATTGCTTTATGAAAATTTTCAACGTGTTTGCATAGATGTCCGCATTTATTGTTGTCTTTTTTGGCAATATTCAAAGAGAATGATGCCCCTGATGTCCCGAAAAAACACTTTCACTTCGGGGATCGTCTTCGATAGATTCTCGTTCCCATCGTAACTGTTTCGGCTAAAATTTTATTGTGTAGTGTGATGGTGTACCATGTTTATAGACGCATTTATTCTCTCACGGATTTTTTTTTTTGTTAATGATCCCTTTTCGTCAAAAATTTTATGGCACTGCGTTACTTTAATTTTAAGGGCTAGTTTCATAATCAAATTAAAGGGACTTTAAACTTAATGTTGGTTTAGTTTGTGAAATTTTTGTCACCAAGTCCGTAGTAATCAGATAGTGTTAGAATACATGGTACTGTTTTGATAAATTATGCTTGTGCGTTTTAACTGTTTTTTTTTCATTGCTAGGTAGATTTCCCTCAGAAGAGAATTTTAACTTCTGTCATAGTTTGACATAAGAAAATTTAATTTCTAATCCCCTTTATCCAAAAAGTATTTTTTTCTATATAGTATTTCAAAAACCTAGTACATTAAGCACCTGAGATAATATTAAAAACAAAAATGATTGCAATAAATTTTTTGTTTCTAGAAATAGGGATATTTTAAAGCTAACTAGACTGAATAGTTATTAGCAAAACTATGTTTAAAACTGCAACTGCATCTTTAGAACGCACATTATACAGGGTGTCTCACGAGCACGGTGTAAGATATTTAGGTGATGCAGCGAGCCCTGCAAATGTGTGGCCAAACCGGTCACGCTCAATTTAGAGAGAGATAGCGTAATCGGGCCATCATTACTATCAATAAATGAAGGAATGGACCGAAAAGTTGCAGTTGTATAAATGATAATACATAGTTATACTTTTTTTTAAGTTTTATGTAAAAAATACACGTCATACTACCTATACATCTGAATTTAAATTCTATGAGAAAGCTTTGCTTGAACTTTTTTTATTACATGTCTTTCTGTTGCGAAACGTAAAACAAATACATATTGAATTTTACTTGAAAACAGTTATTATATTAAATAATTAGTAAATTAGTAGGTATATTAAAAAATTAAATAAARTAGTACTTAATTAAAAATAAGTCTTTTTAAATAAGGTAATTTTATGAATCGAAATATCGAAGACAAAGATTTTTCAAGAACATAAACACCTACATATTTTGTAGGAGCATAATATTCTAAGGGCCAGTTGCATAATCAAATTTAAATGAGCATTAAATTAAATGTTGTTTAGAATGTGCTAATTACTACGGACTCCTTGAGCAAAATTTTACATTCTAAACCAACATTAACTTTAAAGTTTCTTTAATTCGATCATGAAACTGGATCTAAGTAAAATTTAATTCTAAATTTAAAATTATTAGGACACACCATCAATTTATCAAAAATGTGTTGTTAATTAATTCAGTTTTTGGACTGTAGTTATTTTTTTATCCAGAGAAAAATTAAACCAGAGAGATCAAATATATAAAGTTTATTTCACACCAACCTGCGTCGAATACTACTTTTTTAAATAACGTTACTTTGGACTGAACTTTATTTTACAATTATTAAAATCACATTAATTATCACCATTCGCAATTGAATGCAAAGACCACAGTCTAGAAGGTAAATAAATAAATAGAATAAACCTTTATTCTTGTTTCAAATTTTTTCAAATAAATTTTGTTAGTTATTCAGTTCAGCTATATTTGATTCTTCTACTAAAATAAATGAGCAAATTATTATTATTTATTGATAATTATTAAAAACAGAACCAAAAAAATATAAATTTAGAGTTGCTTTTTCAATTCTTTTTGCTTTTTTCCTTCGTTTAACTTGTGGTTCAAATTTAACAATATCCTGGACAATCTGGAAAAATAGTTTGTACTGCTTCTTCTTCTAATTTTGGCTTTTTGAGATAAAATTTGACAAAAGTTGTTTCAATCTAGAAAAAATATGTTTTATGGTGTTTATAATTTTAATTAATTTTCTTTAGATTTACCGTGTAACAGCCAGTGTTTATATCATGGATTATATGTTTTGCTTTAAAATGTTTTTTACACACATGATTCTTTACAGTGAAAATACAGTCTTTTTGGAATTGTGGTAGGTATCGGAAATAAAGATAATTTTTCATTATTTTTAGCATAGCCACTTTTAAACTTGGGCACACAACATTTTTATCCCATTTCAAAATGTATAAACATGTATTAGAACAATATAAAATTGCTGAAGTAACCACCTCAGGTGCACTTTATTAGGCGGACTTTCGGAAACGAATGGCTCGCATATGTCCTCCTTGTCTAAAAATCGCGTGACCAGTTTGGTCACACTTAAGCCAACGCAGTGCATGCGCTCCCTGCATCACCTAAATATCTTTCACCGTGCCCACGAATAATAATGAGCCCGAAAATTTTTATGAAGCAACCAACATTACATTTCATATAGATAACGTGGATATTAAAATATTTCATTTTAATTAGTTAAACTAATCGTAATTTTATTTTTGATAGATTTCTACCATTCAAAATGATTTTACTCCAGTTTTAGGAAGTCCGTTTATTTGGATATCACGCTGGATAGAAGCGTGCAGTCCGCGAAGTGTTTTTCAAACATTTTTCATAAATGAGAATCTTGTTGGTCTTTTCGACAACATTTTAGTAATTCTCACCAAATTCTCCAAGGTTTGACATTTTATAAAGTAAAGTTGAAGTGCTGTTTGGTCACTATGTTTAATTTATTAAAACTAAATATTTTAATATCCACGTTATCTTTGAAATGCTTGCTTCAAAAAAAATTTCAGGCTCATTATTACTCGTGGGACACCCTGTAATATTATGCAATATAGATTTAACTATCAGAGATAAAAAATGACCTAATATTTTATGTTGRCTTCTGAAAATCAAGAAAAGAACATTTTCTTGTAAACAAGATAAACAGTGAGATTAAGAACAAAATTTTCTAGATTTACGCGGGTACTACAGTAGATGCTCCCTTAATTGGCAAGTATTGTGGGCAAAACGTACCCTCACCATATATCACCGAAAAAAGTCAAGTTTTAATTGTGTTTAAAACCGATTGGAGTACTAGTGGAGAAGGCTTTGCTCTTCGATATGAGACTGGTTTGAAATAAACAAACGGTCTATGAAAATCGCTTAATTTAATTAATTCTAGTTTGTGGAGGAACTTACACTGCACCTTCTGGTGTAATAGAATCTCCAGGTTATCCAAACAAATACGATCATTCTTTGGAATGCATCTACGAAATAGTACAACCTCTTGGAAATATCATTAAACTAAATATCGTTGATCTGGATTTAGAGAGTAACACTTATCCCGATTGCATCTACGACTTTTTGGAAGTAGGTATCGCTATTTTTGAGAATTTTTTAAAAATATTTTTCAGATAAGAGACGGCCACGACAAAAACTCAACATTAATAGGAACTTACTGTGTCAACAATGTACCTTTGATAGTGTCAACTTACAATTACCTATGGATAAAATTCGAATCGGATTCCAGTAATAACGGAAAGGGATTTAGAGCAAATTATACAACCACTAATTTAGGTAAGTAAATACATGGTAGGTCAAAATGCAAGATAAAGTTTTTTATTTTTTGACAGGATTGACGTCATCAAATGTAGTGTCCGCATTTGGTGACATCAGTCCAAATTATTTAAAAATTTATTTAAAAGTTTATTCGTGTTTTTATGACAAAATATCTCGGTATCTAAATAACATTTTATAGAACTAGAACAGTTTTTCACTATTAATTATTAAGTCATTTTTTGACAAAATTAACATTTTATCCGCTAGAACTCGCGCCCCAGAGAAAAATGCCATATAAGGTAAGATACCAGAAACATGGAAAAAATGTTAAAAAAATTTTATCTATGAAAATTTCGAAGTTATGAGAGTTTAAATTTTGCACTTTGACTCTATTTATTTCTGTTGGAAAAATAATTTTCCAAGTTTTTTTTTGCTACAGGTTATATGAAGAGAAAACAAGGAAGCTGTATCCTAAATTGTAACTCTGTTTAAAATGTTATTTGTGGCTTTTATTGGCAAAATTTTTGTACTTTTATTAAATAATCGTAAAAAAAACATATACAAGATCATCAGTATCATTAAATAGACATAAAAAATGTCAAATGTGAAAATATAAATGTCAAATTTTTTTGACAGATAAATTTTTTAAACATTTTTTTCTAATTTGCGTTTATAATGCGTTTATTAACGTCTCTCAGTAGGAGTCGTTTATGGCTATCTATAAAAGCGCATTGTACTTTAATGAATTTAGGGTTATTTAGTTTTTGTATGCCGCTTCTGACTTGTCAGGTAACAAATTTTGCGTTGTTGCTTCGGCACTTTCGCGAATTTTGGGCGGAGTGCAAACTAAATTCTGTTGGCTCATATTTTATTTGTTATTATTATGTTGGAACACTAATAACTAATAATTTGTAAATTTTATTTTTAATGACAGACGGCAGATATGATTCAAAAAATCAGGTGGGCGCCGAGTGTTACCAATCGATACCAACTAACACAAAATTCTCTAGACGACAAAAGTATATTTTTTTTTTAATCAAAATAAGAAAAAAGGGGGCACAAATTAGAAAAAATAGCATAAAATACCCGTTTTATAATGGCATTGGCGCACTCATCCCATAGAAAACTCGCATACGGCTCGTTTTCTAACTTGGGATTCGTGCGCCAAATCAACCCTTATAAAACTTGTTCATTAATATACTATTTTCATGTTCCTGGTATCTTATGTTACTTGAAATTTTTCTCTGGAGCGCGAGTTCTGGCGCATCCTCTATTTTTTAATGTTTTTTAAATAAAAATTATTTTTCTTTAATCAATAAAACTATTTGTAATAACAAAGTTAATTCAGAGACGTAGTAGGTTACGCGTTTTTGTCACTTAATGAAAAAAATCGTACATAATTTGTTCCATGTAATCAGTGCGATCATTGTTTATTTTCATGTTAAAAAGTAATAACAGAATGAAGGTAAAGATTAAAGCTTCATTCACAATGAAATAATTACTACTTGTAATTGAAATGCAAAATTAACGTTGAAATTGGTCCGTGAGGATCATTCACAATAAAAAGTTGTTCCATCTAAAGTATGCAAATTTTATGTAGCGTCCTCTATTAGTAGAAAGCTATATTAAAGGATTACAAGACCAAACACCTAACAAAAATGATAAATCGAAGTATTTCATTTAGTACTGCGTCCATTTCGACAAAAAAAAAAGAATTTTGCAGGATTGGTGGATTTCTTTGGTTAGATCAGTGACCTTAGACCATTTGTAAACATTAAAAACTGTGTGCTTAAAATGCGCTAAGTGAACGTATTAATTTGATCTCAAAGTTTGGAGTTTGTAAACTTATCAGTAAAGTATTAATTATATGCACAAAGTAAAGACATCGTGAATGTTTCCATGCAAACACACAGGTTTTACTTTTGGTACTAATTGCAAGATGCAAGTTATAATTATAAGTACTAATTATTTTATTGTGAATAAAGCTTTAGCAGTTAGTATTTAATTAGGCAATTTGAATGTCCACATAAAATCACTTCTCAACTCAAATGATAATATGACGTATTTACCAACATTTAAAAGGTTTGATAAAAGTGTAGATACACTATATGGTCTGAAATTCGCTTCTTACAACCTCTCATTGTGAGACTGCATTTGTAACACTCGCTACTGCGTGGCTCGTGTCGTATGACAAAGAGTGTTTCTAACACTTATTTTTAAATATTACATAATTATCTACCATCATTAAATTATATGTTTGTTAAACGTAACTGTAGGTAGGCATTATATGCTACTCATAATAAATTACACCCGTGACTTATCATAAATCATTACAATAAATATAAATGCTGTACGTAGAAAGTTTTATTTAAAAAAGATCGTAAATAAAACGTTGTATTTGATTCGCACATAATGGTTATAATTCATTAGGATGATTTATACACTCGCCATTGACTCGTGTATAAACTTCATCCTCTTGAGTTATGGTCTTGTTAAATAATAAACTATTATCTACGACTGTTAAGTAATGATGTTATTATGAGCTTATATAGAGACACATAATTTAGTTCATTACTCTGTGGAATATAAATTCATTCTACGACTATTCATATTCCAGAGTGGAATATAAAGTCATATTCCACAACTCTTCTTTGTATGGTTTACTGTTTGAAATCAATTTGACATTTTTATTAGGTAAATTAGTACGTCAACTTTTAAATGTCAATTTTAGCAACACCAAAAATCTAAAATAAAGTACTCAACAATTGAAGTGGATATTAACAATTTTTCGAAAATTTGCAATTAAAATGTATGTTGAAAAATAGGAATACATACTGACAAGCGTCGGTTCATTTTGCGTTGTGTTTCATATTATTTTTTATGCCCTTTTGTTCTATAGCGGTAAGATGCAAAGTTGTGGATACAATACTTCAAAGTCTCAAGACTATCAATAATTTAATAAAGAGTCATCTAAATAGAGTAAGAGACCTAATAAAAGCCAGGGGAGGTCCCACACGATATTAGGTAGAAGTAGAAATTTATTTATTGCTTTTTTTACTTAAAATACATTATTGAATTAAAACATTAAGATTATTTTCTAATATCCATTTCAATTGTTGAGCAGTTTGTTTCATAGTCGTAGTATTCTACTCGCATATAATGGCTATTATTTACTCATGTGATTAAAAAACTCGACTAGTACGACTTGTTTTTTGAACTACTCGTGAATACCAGCCGTCATTTTAATAAGTTGTTTTTGAAACTTTTAACTGTATCCAAACTTTTTGTCTACCTTGTCTAAAACAAAAAATTACAATAACTTGGCTTACAGATCCTTTATTATTATAGATCCTCTATAGAGGATCTGTAAGCCAACTTTAGTTTCATTTCGTTCAATAAATGAGAGGGTCAAGAAAATTAAAGAAAATAACTTTTATAAGACATTTTTTCTACAGGTTGTGGAGGCATAATGAAAGACAAAACTGGTATTTTTTCAACACCAAAATATCCCCAAGTCTACCCTCCCGGCACAGTGTGTAAGTGGATAATTTCAGCTCCACCTGGTAATGTCATTCAAATAACTTGGTTGAATTTTCAACTCGAGAAAAGTGTTGAATGTTCATACGATGCTGTGGAAGTTTTTGATAATAATACTGAGATTGGTCAGGGGTCTTCAATTGGAAAATTCTGCGGTACACTCGTTCCGCCGGCAATGTTAAGCACTTCGAATTTAGTCACCATCATTTTTCACTCGGACCAAACTTACAATTTGGGTGGTTTTGTGGCTTCTTACAACACTCTTCTTGAATCAACAGGTAAAAATTATAATAAATAATGTTTATTCACAATCATAAAGTAACATTACATGTGAAAAGTTGGAAAGTATG